GTGCAGCGTTCGGGTGTTTAAATTCGAAAAGAAATCTACCGGATTTATCTTTTTTTTCGCTTCCCAAAGATGCTGAAAGGTATGTTGGCCATGTAGGTAATCAATAATTCTTAAGATAGTATAGGAACCTAACCTACGAAGTTTTTAAAGAAATCAATATATTGACTGTGGCTTCGCAATACATATTTGATAACATTATGTATGTCCGTAAACATATACATTTATTTACTAAGAAAAGTGACGTCCACTCATTAACACGAGACATAAGAATAAACTTGCTGTTCCATCATTTAGGTTGCATAAGATAGGTAATTCATTCTTGGGGAAATGTATTACCATATTTAACAAAATACCACACAACCTTGTCGAATTGCCAATAAACAAATTTAAGATACATATAAAAAATACCCTTATGTCCAAAGGGTACTACAAGGTTCGAGACTATATTGATGACAAGGATGCGTGGTCAGTTCAGTCTGCACATATTTGATGTACTTAAATTTGACTATTCTTACCGTTAGATAATTCCTGGCAATAAGTGGTGACTGAGTTTGTTCCGGCGTTTCTTCTCAGCACTTGCCATATGTTTGTCTCGAAGCGCTGGTAGGGCCCAAAAGATAAGGAGACATGTAAAGTGCCCCATAAGGGCTACCTTTTCTTTTTTTATTATGTTCTATTGACGTTCATAAGTGCCACTTGTGGTCTAAACTGAATAAATATTTTTGATTTTGATTTTTTTACCACGACTAATGCTCAGAATGCGTTCGTTCGTTTCAGCCAAATGACGTCCACTGCTGGACAAAGGCCTCTCCTAAGGTTTTCCATAATGAATGCGTACTTACATACATACGTGTCATGAGGTACGTACCTCATGACATATAAGTAGATTAATTATTTTTTTCACTAGACAGCAACCCTAACAGCGTAAGAAGAGTTCAGAGGCACGCGATAGAAAGAGACAAAACTTGTAGGTGAATAAAATTGTAGGTACGTAGTGCTGTGCGAGCTGAATTCCACTGTATCGCGTCGCAGCAAGACTCGCATTTATTTAAATCGTCTTGCGGAGTAATCCTTCTGTACCTGTACTATTACTTATTCTGTGTCGATACTGATGCCAAAAATGCAATCAGTAAAATTTTTGTCTGTCTGTCTGTCTGTATGTTCCTTATAGAAACAAAAACTACTCGACGGATTTTAACGAAACTTGGTACAATTATTCTTCATACTCCTGGGCAGGTTATAGTATACTTATAAATTCCCACGGGACCGGGAATTAGCGGGAAAATCCTTTTATATGAAAAATCTAAACCGCTTAAGTTAGACGCTTGAAATTTGGCATGCAGGTACCTTAGTAAACTTAAAGCTTAGTTACAACAGGATATTGCAAAATTTCCACGGGAACGGGAGTTAGCGGAAAAACATTGGTATGAAAAAATCTAAACCGATAAGATAGATGAAGGGGGTAAAACGGGATCCACGCGTACGAAGTCGCGGGCGGCCGCTAGTATTAGTATAATATTGTGAATGAGATGCTCTAATGGCGTAGTAGAGCTCATGATGATGAGCAGAAATGACATGTTTTAAGTCGTTCCAAGCCGCATAATGGCTTCGGGGCACGAGATTTAAATCCTATGATTATAAAAGTATCCAAACTACTCGTATGTTTCTGCCCACTTCACTTATTTTCTTACCCAGCCTGGCATCAAACCTGGGATCAACAAGTTATGTCAAGGTAACTGTCATCACACTGGTACATCTTTCATTGGAAATATAAATATGCAAAGCAATAAAATTATTCAAAAAGTCGCAATGACGCAGGAGTAAGGAGTCGTAATGTGCATGCGAAGTCAAGGCCGTAATGGTTCTCGCAACTCACGAGAAATGCTGCCATAACATTTAAGTTTGACAAGAACCCATTCATTTTAGGGTCCACTGTCTTTTACACAATATAATACACAGTTATATTCGCTTAGCTTAGACAACATCGCGGAATAGAGGTACAGACAGGTAGGTAATTTCTAATGACGTAAAAAATGTGTGAAATCTATGGCGTAAATTGCATTGTCAACATAAGTTACACAGGTTTTTCAGTTCCGCGCACGGAACCAGTGGCGTAGCTTGGGGGGGGGCAGGGGGGGCCATGGCCCCGGGCGGCATATGAAAGGGGGCGGCGGATAAGAAAAAAAACATTGCATGAACAAGAAAAAAAAAGGTCGACTATGTCTACGTTGAGACTAACAAATCTAGCTATACTGGCAATTGAAAATGAGATACAAATTGATATCGACGATTGTGTAAAAGATTTTGCTTTGAAAAAAGCACGAAGAGTACATTTTGAATCTATTTTTTTAAGTAATAGTAACAAAAATATTTAAGGAGCTTACTTACCCCTCTAAAACTTGCGCCACAGATAATCTTTCGTGATTTCTCTTGTTACAAACCGAAATAAAAAAGTGGTTTGTAAATAGTTAAAGCCATATCTAAGCTACTTTTAAAACCGTGTATTTATTATATTCTGCAAGTTCGAAATTCAAAATTAGCTAAAATGGTAACTTTTAGCAGTAATTAAATCTGTAACTTGCTGCAAATATCTAATGAATTTAAACAAAATATTTAAAAAAATAGCTTCGATACATATTATACATTTTTCAAACCACTTTTTTAATTTCGGTCTATAACAAAAGTAATCAAGAAAAAATATGGTGGCGCTGGTTAGCTAGGGTACAACCCTTAATAATATTAAGCACATATGTTATTCCTTCTAAGTTCAATGAGCACTATACAGTGTGAGTCACGTTAAAGTGTACATATGAAAATAGATGAAACTAGACCTATTTTTATCGACAAAAAAGAGGTCAAAAAATTTTAGAGAACACGTAAATGATCTGTTTATACTCCAAAAGAAATGCGTCCGCATTATAGAAAATATTGACGAATCTGTTAGTTGCAAAGATTACTTTAAAAAACACAAGTTATTAACCCTTACTTCGATTTATATATTTGAAATTTGCAAATTCGTAAGGAAATACCCAGCGTTCACTACGAAGATCGTGGACCAAACACACCGTCGTTATCCTACACGATACAAGAACAACCTAGCATTACCACAATCCAAGTTAACACTACACACTAAAGGGCCACTTATTATGTCAATAAAAATTTACAATCACCTACCTGAACACCTAAAAGCTGAAACAAATAGCAGGACATTTGAAAATAGATTAAGGAATATACTTAATCAGAAAACTTATTATAATTTGAAAGAATTTTTAGACGATAAGTTTTTGACATGATTTAACATTTTGACATGATTTTACATTTTTGACATTATTTAATTTATACACATATTTATTTATATTTATTTTGAAAATTTCTTGACATTTAAGGATTTTTAGGTTATTATTTATTAATGTTGACCTGAATAATAAATTAGTAGGACCTAACTGCTTACCACTTGATATTTAACATGACATTTCAACACTTGACAATAATTAGCATGACATTTTAACAATATTTTTCCATTTTTAATAATTCATTAATTCTAACTTTATTTTATAATTATCGAAACGTTTAATAATGACATTTCCACCAAACTCAATTTGTACATTAATTTCTTTTGACTAGTAAGATCGTCGTTCTGTCTCCTTCCTAAAGTTGCTGTGCCCTAACTGGGTCCACATTGTATAACTGCCTAAATTGTAAGACCTATAAATGTGAATGCTAATGTGGTTATGCAATAAAAGTATTGAGTATTGAGTATTGTTATACACCTAGTGTTACATAATAAAGCTGAGCTATTTAAGAAAATCAAACTTCCTGTGGGTTTCAAGCAATTGCTTCTCTTTAATGTATTTTCCTTCTGAAGCAGTGCGTGGTAGTTTATTTTGACTTTCAACAAATAAGGTGAATAGTGTACCTGAAGTCCATTCAATATAATATTTAAACTTTAAAATATTTATAATTAAAATAAAGGGCGGCGGATTTCCGGACGGCCCCGGGCGGCGAAAAGCCACGCTACGCCACTGCACGGAACCCCTCTCGGTATGCATCAATGTCTCTACCAGTGATTGCGTTGCATTACGTCTGCCTTTGAACTTTGTGTCGGAAGTCGTTTCTGCTGATTGCCGGCCGACCTTGAAGGTACTAAGAAGACCAGGAACTGGTAAAAAGGGCAAAGCGAGCTCTAATGTAGGCTTTGGTTCTACTTTTTGTTTGTATTTTGTATTAAATAAAAGTTGTCTATGATTGTTATCTTAATGATTTTTCATGATACGCAGAAGCAAGGGTTTCGTTTCTAGACGAAATGTATATCACCATCACCATCATAACTTTTTAATCGCAGGGATTGGTTGGTTACAAGAACAATTTGAAACCAATATCCCATAATTTTATCAGCAACTGTTTTAACAGTCGTTTGTCTTGTTAACAGCATCGTTAAGTGCAGCAATTAATATAAATTTATTGACTCCGCATAACTTCGTCGACACAAGGCGAGTCGTACTTACTTCTCGGTGCAATAAACGTATCCTACTCACTTATCACCTTTTTAGGGAAAACATTAACAAAATTCTTTTCTCATAACTAAAAGAAATGAGCAAAATAACAACTAAGTATTGCGTATCCTTTATAATATAAACAACTTCATTTTGACTCCCTGCCCTGTAACTAAGTACATAGTAGGAAAAAGCTCTTTCCTGTAAGCTTGAAATCTATAATGTTGTTGTTTTTAATCTTTCTTAAGAAGTTACAAACAAAAATAGACATATTTTACTATCGATTGCTGATCTCTTCTTAATTTAGCTTGGATTGGTCGTAGGTAACTAAGAGACGCACATCTATGGAGTAATTCACTTGCAGAAATGACAGCAAATCTTATAATTACTTACTTAAGTAAAAGGTTTGACGTTGAAAGAAAGGGTCGACATTGACGAAGGTAATGTATGACATCCTGAAAGCTTCATTACCATTGCGTGGATTTTATAAATATTTGCACAGCGGCACCTGCGCAGAAGCCTCGCGCGCGTCGACGCATGGTGGCTAACAGCTAAATAATAATTATTAATATTAGTTTCCAAAATGTGGATCATTTGGTGTCTGATGCTGGTGATAGTAAGTGGGAAAGAGCTTACAGGTGAGTTAAATTATGCATCAATTTAATTAAGTTGCAAGGTGAACCATCATTCAGCGCAGCTCCTAACACTTTCAGAATAAAATTTAGCAAATTATTTTAAGGTAACCCGTTACTTAATTCCTCGTGGTAGGCTACATGTTACGAGTGGGTTCTATACAACAGTTCAGCGGTAGTGGGGTTCGAACCCGCGTACCTCGGATCTCGATTCAGCCAGTACACTATAACATTGGGCTACGGCTACGGGTATCTGTCGGGTCTGTAGCTTGCTTGGATAATTTTTGTATTATTATTCCATTTTCTTCCCTAAACTTTGAATTTTTGACAAATTTCAATATCTACATAATTACTACGTGTGATATATCATTGGAAAGAAAAAAAAACTTAGAGATGTTTTTAAGATCTTTGGCAATCCATTATCCCCATTCATTTTATAAATACAAATTACGATAAAAAAGTTGAATTTTTTATCGTAATTTGTATTTATGTTAAACTTTGGCGGCTCGTAACTAGCTATCCAATCGTTATCTGGATGTGAAATTTATTTTATTTGACTAAAGACATATTTGATACTAGCGGCTGCCCGCGACTTCGTACGCGTGGATCCCGTTTTACCCCCTTCATCTATCTTACGCAGTTTAGATTTTTCATACAAAAGGATTTTCCCGCTAATTCCCGTTCCCGTGGGAATTTCGGAAATTCATTGTTGTAACTAAGCTTTAAGTTTACTAAGATAGCTACATACCAAATTTCAAGCGTCTAACTTAAGCGGTTTAGATTTTTCATTCAGAAGGATTTTATAAGGAACATACATACATACAGACAGACAAAAATTTTACTGATTGCATTTTTGGCATCAGTATTTCGATGACTAATCACCCCCTGATAGTTATGAAAATGAATTTCATGTACCTACAGAATTTAGGGTCAAATGAGCGAACTTGTATTCTTAAAATGACCCTATCTATACACCCACGAAGTTTGTATAACCTTCCGCCAAACACCCTGAAGATTCGTCATGTCTCTCTGTCCGTATGTCACAGCCACTTTTTTCCGAAACTATAAGAGCTATAGGTTTTGAAACTTGGTATGTATGTACCTAGATGCATTCTGTAAACCGCATTAAGATTTTTGTATAAAAATGGAAAAAAATTGGCCAGTAGAATTAAACTCAAAAATTAATTAAATCTGGGACGAACCGTCAGGAAGACCACTTTTCGATAGGGTAAGTCCTATACGCGGTATAACCGGAAAACTGAAAAAGCGCCCCTTTCGGGGGCCCCCACCACTTAAGCACAACTCCGTCGAAATCGAAAACCTAGGAGAGTCTTAATGGGCAACCAATTCCAAGTCGAGCAAAAAAGCGCGGCCGTGCCGCTTTTTTACCATCCTTTTCTCGAAGCAATTCAAGCCATTTTCGACTGCCTGTAACTTCGTTGTGGATAAAACTAGAAGGCTGAATTTCCATTAGCTATGCATTGTAAAGACACGGTATATTTAAAATTTCATTCAATTTGAACCAGTAGTTTAGGAATTATAACGGGTCAAAGTGACTCACCGATCATCAAAATTCTAAGGCACTTCTAGCAGACCTAGAAGCTTCAAATTTGGAATATAAGTAGTGTTTGGTGTATGAATCAAGGAAAAACTAAAATATTTGGGGGCACGGTAGTGCAACCGCCATGTCGAGTAATTTTTTTCAATTTCGGTCCAGTTTTCTAGATACACAACTGCTGTCTACAAAATACAAAAAGAAATGAGATTTGGGGGCACGGTAGTGCAACCGCCAAGTCGAGTAAAATTTTTCAGTTTCGGTCCAGTTTTCTAGATACATAACTGCTGTCTACAAAATACAAAAAGAAATGAGATCCCATAAAAAACAATATATTGACTTGGCCATCGCATGAAAACACGTGTAAATTAAATTATTTAGTGCGATGGCCAAGTCAATATATTTATGTAAAACGTTAAAGATTTCCTGGCCTGGACTTGGTATTACATGGATCCCACAACTTTTTACCGTAGAACAACTGAGTTGCGAGACTTGGTTTTTTTGACAAGTATTGTTTTTGATGGGATTGCATTTGACTACTTCCGAAATGACTTATCGACAATAAGTCGTTTCGATGCCTGCCTATTCAATACAAACAAACAATCAATCAAATATTATCGGCTTTTTCAATGACGTGGGTTGTCACAACTAGGGTCACAGTCTAGTGTCAGTACCTATTTAATTTACCTAACACCTAACAAACATTTTACGATGAAAACAATACCTATAAGGACAACCACGGACAATTAACTCAATAAGTACCTACGCATGAGTAGGTAGGTAGGTACCTTTAATAATTTGAATAAATAATAATAAAAATAGGAAACAAGATAAGTCTTCATTGTACTTTCTGTAGGTTGAAACAAACAAGCATCTGAAACGTTGACTTTACTTGTACTTTGTTGTGAATTGTATGTAACGTACCAGCAACATTCTTGGGACGCGTGAAGTTGCTCTAGCAAGTATAATATGGACCAACTAGCGGGGACAATAAACCGTACCTATTAGGTAACTAACATAAAACATATCGCCCTCCAAAAGATACTGCACTATCTAATGGATGCAGGACTCCGAGGCGAAATGTAAGGAAAACAGTGGCGATCACAATAGATTCGATCGGTACCGGTCGCAGTGATATTGGGACTTCATAGACCCAGTATTCTGGGCTTATTATTGAGGCTATTGCCTCAACACAAAAAAAACTTTCATAAAAGTGTTGGTTCCAGATGAGGAGTACTACCGGATGCCCCGCGTGTTCCACCTGGACGACTACGAGGCCTGCCTGTCGCGGCGCGGCGGCCTGTACTGCCTCGGCGCCTTCCGCCTCGCGCCGCGTAGCGCTGGCGACCCCGTCTACGACTTGATGCTGGTGAATACCTGTTCCCAATGAAGGAGAGAAGAGATTTGCTTCGCCAGGCGCGATAGTCTGACTGTCTCACGGCTTCTTGCCTCGCGCCATACAACACTGACGAAGAACGTTCTCTACTATAGTTTGCGAGCTGTTACTTATTTTTTTTTTAAATAACTTGAAAGAATCGAACTGTCTGAGGTGGGAATTTCGAACCTACGACCTTTTGCTTGACGGGCGACTGCTTTTCCATCTGAGCTAGGTACTTAGACACTGGATGAACCTGTCGAAATTTTCAAGTGTAATACGCTATTAACGGTGATGTTACTTATTATAGTTGTGGGAATGCTTCGTCTGTCTACCCCTTTATTTGGCACTTGCGGGTTTATTCTTAGAGCGCTTTCACATATAGGCGTTATTGTCGCCCAACTGTAGCGCTTCTAAGTCGCGCTGCAGTAGCGCGACTCGTATCCATACATATTTATGTAGCGCTGCAGCTGAGCCATATGTGAAAGCGCTCTTATCCAGTTTATTTTAAGAACTATCTTCAATTATAAATATCTTTTTACAGGAATACTCGAAGATCCCGCAGAACTTCAACCGCACTGTGGTACGTCGCGGCTACTGCGTGAGCTCACGCTGCCCGCTGGAGGATCCTTCTGATCGCAACAACAGCTGGCGCTTCGAGCGCTGCGTGGCGCGCTGGGCGCAGGCGCAGGGCTTCCACTCCACCCCGCACTCTATAGAGGTAGGACTCTAGCTCTATAGTCCGGTCACCGAGCACGTAGAATTTCGTCCAATGGCCCCAACTCCCAAGCTATTCATCCCTATCGCTCGCGCGTAATTATATTGCTGTCGCGCTCGCACACTCACTGCTGCCGCACATCGCACAGTCGCGAGAGCAATATAATTACGCGCGAGCGATAAGGATAGGTAGCTTGGGGTCATTGGACGAAATTCTACGTGCTCGGCGACCAGACTTAGAAGGAGTACATAAATAGCGATCCTCCGTCGTCCCGCCAATAACGGCCCGAGGAGTTTTGTGGGTAAACTTGGAACATAGAACTGATTCTCATTCTCCAAGGAGTCCGCTGCAGCCCCTCCTGCAGCACTACAGTAGGTTTGTGATGAAACGATACGAACCGGACGGTGTATGTAGGGGAGACTGGGTACGGTTGTAGGTAACAGAGTACAGTTGTAAAAACTCGATTGTTATCGAACAATGATCAGTAGGTGAGGGGTACAAGGGGAAGCCCTTAAAGCCTTAGCCCTTAACTTGTCTACCGAGCAACAGTTGACTGTTACAACCATACCCAATTACAACCGTACCCAGTCTCCCCTACAGCCGTATGAATTGCCGCTCAAATACACTCACTTACTTATTTTGCACAAGTACTTAATAAATAATTTAAACAATATTAGGACCGGATAAACTGCAGTGATATGAAATTCTCAACACTTAATTTCTCAACTTTTCACCGTTTTCCACGCATTTCAGTACTGCCGCACCACGGAGCAGAGACAAGCCAAGGCAAGCAGCGAGGTAGACACCCCAGTGATCGTGTTCACTGCGGTGGTCCTCTGTGTTCTGTTCTTGAATGTAGTCGGCACTGTCTACGACCTGAACACGCCTGACAGTGATAAAAGTGAGTTCAATCAAGTCACTTTACAAAATTGTAATACATAGTTCAGTCACCACTTGTTTTCATAAGACCGTCTTGGAAACCACAATCCATGTGAGCCGCGAGCAGATGTTAAACAAACACTATAGTCTTTTTCACGTAAGATGATCCGTATGACACTTCAAAGTTATCCATATTACGCATACTACATATCGTCCATTTGCGACGACACTGTGATATATCAAAAACAGTGGTTTTACAGAAATCGACTTTTTAACTTTTGAATGACTATAACTCTTAAAATAAGGTTAGGATTACCTAATTGTGTATGAAACGTTTAAAGATTAACTATTAATGAATTTAAATATTTATAGTAAGACATAACTTTGCGTCTAAATTGATGAAATTATAGCGATTGAAAAAAAAAGAGACAACTTATCACGTTGTTCTAGTAAAAAATAATATTTTGAAGATGGTAAGTTCAGTTGTCACGTTGTAGATGATATAAAAAATATATTTATATAAGTCATTATTTAGATAAAACGTTGATCTTGAATTTTTTTTATTTATTTCACTAACATTACAATCAGTAAAAATGAGGTAATTGTTGGAACAGGCGAATATTTCGCTTTGCCATGTTAAATTTCACTTATAAAAATATTATCTAAGTAGACAGACAGTTGTATACATACAATATTTAAGTTCACATTAAGTTTTCTTATTCTAAAAACATAGTAAAATCTGAGTCTATTGATTATATTTCAATTAAATACGATGTAAAAATATTTTTTATTTAATGTACGCAATGTGTGAAACGGAATAGATTTAGTGCTGGGGTATTTCTTGTATAATAAAATCGATTATTTCCGCGGTTCATTAATCGATTGCAGTGAATACTTAGTTATTAAAAACATCACAAAAATCAACTATATTTTTCGATTATCGACTTTAATAAACGCATTGAAAATAAATTAATAGTTTTTAATTTTAAGAAACAGAACCAGTACTTTTAAGGAATCGTTTTTTTTAACACAAACCATGAAATTTGAATATTATCAATAAAAAATTGTTACAATAATATTTGTAATTAATAAAAACATGTTTTTTGTTAAATAACACCTATACAAAATAATTCTCTAAAAGTAGGTTTTACTAACTCTTCGAAAAAAATCGATAGATAAATCGCTATGGTTTAGTTATGTGACATCTCTAAATCTTTCAAACTCGAAACGTCATACGGATCATCTTAGGTGAAAAAGACTATAAGTTGAATTTAAGTATGAACATTGATAATATTATATGCTGCATCTGTTCTCAGAATACAAACTCAACTCTACATAAAATAACTTTAAGATGCCCTAACTAGCCAGAACCTCAACTAGATGACTAGATGAATGGAAGCCTGATGTGTTTATTCTTCTTCTTCTTAACCCTCGCCCATTCCCGTTAGGCTCGGTTTCTAATAAAACCGAAGTTCGTTCGTTTCAGCCGAAAGACGTCCACTGCTGGACAAAGGCCCCCAAGGATTTCCACAAAGACCGGTCCTGCGCCGCTCGCATCCAGGCACCTCCCGATGTGTTACTAACCAATCATATTTCGCCATTTCCACAACACGTCGGTTCAAAAATCTGATTAGCTAACACCATCTCCCTCTCCGCTTGGATAGAAACCGGGTCTTACGTTATATTTTGTGCTTACATGGAGTCGACTTTCCTTATCATGCGTCGTCATTTATTTCGCTGTTCAGCATCGTTAGTGACCAGGACCAAGTCCGAATGTGCAAAACGAATTGTTTCAGAGAGCCCACTGCTGATGGCGTGGTCTGCGCGCAGCAACTGGCGGCGCCTCACCGACTGCACCGGCCGCGCGCCCGACCTCGCTCCTCTGTCCGGAGTCAGGTACCCTCGTTCGTTCGTTTCAGCCAAATTCAATTAAAATTAAATACCCTTGGACATTTTACATTGCGCCTTCTAGTCCCAAACTAAGCATAGCTTGTATTATGGGTACTAGACAACGGATATAAACATACTTAAATACTTTTTTTTTTGTAAATACATACATATACATAGAAAACACCCAGACCCGTCACAGAAATTAAAATTCATCATTTCAATATCCGCCCGGCCGGGAATCGAACCCGGGACCTCTCGGCATAGTAGTCCGTTCTGAACCACTACACCAAACGGCCGACAAAAGGCCGAAATGACGTTAATCATCATCATCAACAGCCCTTTACAGTCCACTGCTGGACTGTGAGCCTCCTCCACTATAGTGGAGGGTTTTGCCACAATCCCCGCGCTTGGCAGGCGGGTTGGAGATCGCAGTTTAAAAGATTGATGTTTATCAGAGAGCGCTGCTGCCCGTTCTCTGGTTGATATGTAGTCCCTAAGTCGCCTCTTACGACACCCGCGAGAAGAGTATGGGTTGGTGACAAATGTATTCTACTCTGCCGTCACCTCCTCCCCCAAGGATTTCCATAACCACCGGTCCTGCGCTGCCCGCATCCAGGCTCTTCCCGCGACCTTCACCAGATCGTCAGTCCACCTAGTGGGAGGCCTGCCCACGCTACGTCTTCCGGCCCGTGGTCGCCGTACCCTGCCAAATCTGACCTTCACTGGCTGGTTTTTTTATTAACAGTCAACCTGTAGATCCCGGCTACACAGGAGTTGCAGCAGTGGGAACGAGGGGTGGGAATAGTCCCGTACGTGGAAAACGTTATCCGAAGTTTTGAATGTTGCCATCCCTTTCGCGCAAAGCGACATTCCAGCATGAGCGATAGTGACAGACCCGAAACTACGAAATAGCGTTTCGGAGTAGCCCTTTTTGTGTGATGAGCAATAAAGACTATTTCTCTATTTTTCGATACACACTCCACTTCAGTTGCACGAGACCCTCTTTAATAATAAACACAATGTATAGATCGTGGCATCCACGAAGACGCGACCCATCATTCTTTCGCTAATATTTGAATGTTAACGGTACAAGCTAAATTATCCATGAGAGCACACGCACACTACAATAAAGACGCTCGGATTGCTCGGATCTAACTCCCCGCACCCCGCGATTCCTCGACCAAAATTGTTGGGGCGTGTCGTGGATGACACGGTCTATAACGTAGTGCTGCGTTTACACTGCGCGGAAATTAGCCAAGTCAAGTAAAAAAAAAGTCGGGTGGGGATGAAAAATGAATGAATTTCAACCCCACTTCTCTGTTTTTCGATCACCCGCCCCCCCCCCCCCCCCCTTCATAAGTCTTAAGGCACCCCCTAGGATTTTCATGACATAGACTGTAGACTTGCCATGCAGATGCGCCAGTGAGTACTAATCTGCGCGACTTTAGTCACCCCCTGATGCTTGGCACCCGGGGCGGACCGCCCCCACCGCCCCCCCCCCTTACGCCGCTACTGACCAGCTGACCTTATTATGTACTTACTTATTGCAGGGTGGTGGTGATCCTGCTGGTCGTCAACCTGCACGGCGGGCTGTTCTACTACATGACCTACACCTACAACACGAGGAGCTTGGAACATGTAAGTCACAGATAATAGTGTTGTTTCCCCTTTAAGATTTGTTTTAAAAAGGATAAACTCCTTTCTGTTCATATTAAAACAACGTTTAAAACTCGTTTATTATAGACTATACAGGGTACCCGTATAACGACTTATCATTTTACGATAACGATATCTCACCTCACTTGGTTATTTCTAAATACTGGTTCATCATCATCATCATCATCATCTCAGCCTGCTGAACATAGGCCTCCCCCAATGATTTCCATATTGGCCGGTTGGTAGCGGCCTGCGTCCAGCGCCTTCCTGCTACCTTTATGATGTCGTCGGTCCACCTTGTGGGTGGACGTCACAAAAAACTGGTTACTGATTTATTTATTGGTACTGATTGACAAATGTAGTGAAGCACTTTTAGGATCAGTAACCCCAGTTTTACGATATCTTGTATAGTTTTCAATATTATGTGGCTATACGAAGAGTATGAAAGCTACATACATAGATACATTGAATTTTCGGATAGATCCAGTTTATTCTGTAACCTATTAGTTATTGATACTATTTGTCATTTTTTACGCCCGTATTCACAAACATTACTATGAGGTCTCACAGTGCGCGTGGACGCATACCGTGACACATGAACCAATCGCAGAGCTCTATTCAACGCCGTGCGTTCGATTTGCTGCTTCACTTAAGCAAATATCGTTTGTAGAACTAAAATAGTTACTAAAATAGTAAGACACGGCTTAACGCGACGTTTATTAATGAGTTACATTACATTACGGCTTGACGTTTCGACTGCGATGCTGCAGCCGTGATCACAAGCAGACTGGCGGCTCGCGGCGTCGTTCGTTCGGGCGGGCTTGAAAATTTTCAACTACCCTCATATTGTCATTTGTTACACTACAATCATCTCCATCGGGAAGTCGAACCTTAATTTCGAACTCCTCCTATGTTCTTCTGATTAATTTTGTTGCGGGTCCAATGACAGTTTAACTTTCCCCCGGGACAAACTTCACCTTCATTGGTTGGGTTTTTGTGGCGGTCAAGCTGTAGATCCTGGCCACACAGGAGTTGCAGTGGTGGGAACGAGAGGTGGGAATAGTCCCGTACAATCATCCCCATCTGATTCTTCATGGTTTTTTAAACTGTTGTTGTCCCTCTCAGATGATGCGGACGCCGGTGGTGGAGCCGGTGCGCAACGGCACGTCGCTGGTGGAGATGTTCGTGCTGCTGTCCAACTTCCTGCTCGCGCACCAGCTGCTGCGGCAGGCGCGGACTCACAGCGTCGGCCTCAGGCTGCTGCCCAAGATCTGGCTGGCCCGGTTCATCAGGTACAGTGCTGCTGTCCAACTTCCTGCTCGCGCACCAGCTGCTGCGGCAGGCGCGGACTCACAGCGTCGGCCTCAGGCTGCTGCCCAAGATCTGGCTGGCCCGGTTCATCAGGTACAGTGCTGCTGTCCAACTTCCTGCTCGCGCACCAGCTGCTGCGGCAGGCGCGGACTCACAGCGTCGGCCTCAGGCTGCTGCCCAAGATCTGGCTGGCCCGGTTCATCAGGTACAGTGCTGCTGTCCAACTTCCTGCTCGCGCACCAGCTGCTGCGGCAGGCGCGGACTCACAGCGTCGGCCTCAGGCTGCTGCCCAAGATCTGGCTGGCCCGGTTCATCAGGTACAGTGCTGCTGTCCAACTTCCTGCTCGCGCACCAGCTGCTGCGGCAGGCGCGGACTCACAGCGTCGGCCTCAGGCTGCTGCCCAAGATCTGGCTGGCCCGGTTCATCAGGTACAAATCCCACCACCACCCTTGGTTCCTCCTGCCTCACGGCGTATGAACCGAATCTCGGGATTTGATTTGATTTGATTCTCATAGTCAATTCTCCCCCTTCTGGGGCTTGACACAACAAATACGGTACTTCGCGTCGGGCTGCTATCGTTGATAAATGTCATCACTTCCTCTCATAACTTCGCCTGATTGTGTGCCAGGAGAGCGCGAACTCGGCAGCGCGATCCAGTCACTGCGACTACTCGTGAGGTCCTGGTGATAAACAAACAGGTCCTTGCTCGGCTCTCCGTATCGCATCCAGCATCTTCTGTCGACGTCTGTTCATCAGGTACAGTGCGGTAACTTTGACCGCCAATAAAAACCCAACAAGTGAAGGTCAAGTTTGTTCATTGGACATAGAAACATAGGAGTGCGAAGTTAAAGGTCGACTTCTCTGCAGTGTAAAGCGGATGATAGATGACAAAGATGTAAGTAACCTTTAATAAAAATTAAATATGTTATTATATTTATATTTCTCGCAAAAACCTGGCATAGTAAGTCACCCGGGAACGAGTGGGCGGTATTTTCTGCCAAGTTTATCTGTACCCGAAACAAAGTTGTCATTTGAATTCTGCTAAACTTTTTGTTGATGTCGTAAGATCTTACTTAGTAATGAAAAAGAGAGGTTTGAACATAGAGATATAGAGAGATGCCAACTAATGTGCTGAGTTCGAAACTCAGTGTCGCATTAGAAATTCACGCAGATAAAGTAATCAAAATATGTCCTCATTGTCCACTGCTGTATCTATCAGTACTCAGCGTTCAATTACCTAATCTTTAGTAGTATAATTTCATCTTTAGCAAGCAATGTAAACTGTTTACATTATGACGTTGCTGCTGTCAAAATTTGCATTCACGAGCAATGTGTTCTGATTTGGGCATATTGCTCCGATCCTGGCCACGCCCCCTTGTCACATCTCCCTTTAGTTTCTATGATCTGTAGGTTTGAAGGTCGTTGCTTCGATTTTTAGACTAACTTCGGATATGACACCAGTACCTACTTATTGTCAACGCTGTCTTTGAGTCCAGCAATGACACATACTCGCATTCAGTGGTTGCGGTTGTAGTTTTTATTTTTTATCTGAACTATTTCCCTGCCCACCAGACTGTCAGCCCTGCACCTGCTGGCAGTAGGCTTCGCTGGGACGTACTGGCCGCTGCTGGGCGACGGGCCAATGTGGCACGCGGTGGAAACGTCAGCGAGGGTCTGCCGCCGCAAGTTCTGGGCGCACCTGCTGATGCTGCAGAACCTGGTTGACCCCTACAACCAGTGCATGCTGCAGACTTGGTAACATCTTACTAATATTATAAACTAGCGGCCCGCCGCGACTTCTTACGCGTGGATCCCGTTTTACCCCCTTAGGGGTGGACTTCCGTTAAATCCGTTCTTAGTGAGCACCTACTTTCTAAAAGGAACTCCCATGCAAAATTTGAGACTCCTATCACTTGTAGTTTCTAATATTTCGTGATGAGTGAGTGAATAAGTCAGTAAATCAGTGACCTTTCGCTTTTATAGAATAAAAGTTTGTGACGCTGGGTAAATAGATGTTAGCTACTCTTTCACGTAAAAACCACTGAACGGACTTTGATGAAACTTTCAGTTTTTTATTGTATATCAGAATAAAACATCCTTTTTAACGATCGTGTCATCCACGAAGACGCGCCCCACCATTCTTCCGTTAATGTTTGAGTGTTATCGGTACACTCCAAATAATCCATGAGTGCGCACGCGCACTAAAATAATGCCGCTCGTATTGCTCGGATCTAACTCCCCGCATCCCTCGCTTTCGTCGAACAAAAATTTTGGGGCGCGTCTTCGTGGATGAAACGATCTAAAGCCTGGTCCGTGAGCACGTAGAATTTTGTCCAATGACCCCAAGCTACCCATCCTTATCGCTCGCGCGTAATTATATTGCTGTCGCGCTTACACACTCACTGCGGGCGCGCGTCGCACAGTCGCGACAGCAATATAATTACGCGCGAGCGATAAGAATGGGTAGCTTGGGGTCATTGGACAAAATTCTACGTGCTCACGGACCAGGCTTTATATTGAATTAATTAGCCAGATCACGACTATAAAGTATCAATAATTAAGTATTTCTGTGAAAAAGCGCAGAAAGCCGGGTGCAAAAGCTTGTTTTACATAGTTGTAATCTAGGTGTTACTTTACAAAATATACTCTGAACTCTAATAAAATGTCGACTGAACATATCGTCCCCAGGTTCGTAGCTGTAGACATGCAGCTGTTCCTGCTGACAAGTGTTCTGGCGCTGCTGCTGCTTCCGCGGCGCCGCTGGGCGCTGCCGGTGCTTGGGACCCTGCTGGCGGCATCTATTGCTGCCAACGGCTACTTCGCCTACTTGTTCGGCTGGAAGACGCTGTACTTGGAGTTGACGGCCGAGTGAGTACCTTCCAACTAAAACGGAACTATTCCCTCCTCTCGTTCCCACCGCTGCAACTCCTGTGTAGCCAGGATCTACAGCTTGACCGCCACAAAAACCCAACCAATGAAGGTCAAGTTTGTCCCGGGGGAAAGTTAAACTGTCATTGGACCCGCAACGAAATTAATCAGAAGAACATAGGTGTTCGAGATTAAGGTTCGACTTCCCTCCATTGCAAAGCGGATGACAGGTGACAAACAAAGGTTTATTAACCTTTAAGAAAAGATATGCACCACGGACAATAAATATCAATTAAGGGGGCCTATCTTATGAGCAATCTACCTGTCAATAATATTTTCCAACTACTTTTGTAACAAGCGAATGACGTCCACTACTGGAAAAAGGTCTCCCTAAGGATTTCCACAACGACCGGTTCTGTTCTGCCTGCATTCAGGTACATACTTCCTGCGACCTTCACGAGATCGTCGATCCACCTAGTGGGAGGTCGTAGTGAGTCGCGGAGTCCGATGCAGCGTCTCGGTGACGAACAGATTGCGCTTGTTATTTTGACTTCTCTTATTTTAAAATGACGGATTTTTTCATGGCCAATGCAACGTCTGGAACTCGGACGTGACAGTCTAAATCGCCACCGTGCACGCTGCTGTTGTGCACGCAAACTGAACGCCTTGTATCGGCCAAAGCTTTACTCATAAAACGACTAAACTAAGAGTTTATTTTAAGAATCCAAAAACGCCATGTGGTAAACATTTTCTGTAAATCCCGTGCAATGGCAGCCAATAGGAAAGCTTCCTGGGTAAAAAAACAGGAGTTTAAATCAGTTCGGTTAACTTATCAAAAAATACTCAACACGTATTTATTCACTTTTTCAAAATAATTAAAATTTAAAGAGATAAAGCGTGCCAAAGTTCAATAGAAGAGGCCCGTGACGTCAAGTTGTGCTTTTTAAGCACTTTGTGACGTCACGCGGAACTTCAACGCATCATTAATTCGTAATTACTTGATTTACATCTAAAAATATACGTGTCCAATATTTTTAGGTGATGTGAATGACGGAATATTGTTTTTAAGAAACTAGTCTATTCTTACGCAGCGTGGGACGTCCGCCCACAAGGTGGTCCGACGAAATCATAAAGGTAGCAGGCAGGAAAGCGCTGGACGCAGGCCGCTCCCAACCGGGCAGCATGGAAAGCATTGGGGGAGGCCTATGTTCAGCAGTGGACGTCCTATGGCTGAGATGATGATGATGAATCATCTATTATTAGGCGGGTTTTAGAATCGCGCTGACCGCTCGCTGACGGATCAATATGTAGGTATGTAATTGAAGAGAACGTTCCTGAGTGACGCTGATCGCTCGGCGCCGACGCTTCATACATTTCGGCTATCAGCGCTGACGGTCAGCGTGCGTCAGCTTGACTCTAAAACCAACCTGATTTAAGTAAAATAAAAGTTAGAAAGTAATTACTAGTTTATATTGTAAAAGGAAAAAGTACAAATCAACTGAATTTACGTTATCGAGAGTGACAGAAGGTATTTGTTCATAAATAACGCGCTAGAGGCGAGCGAGTCGTCCAATAACAAAACGCTTCGACGTTTTGTTTCTTTACACGCAGGTTCTTTTTTAATGTGATAGGAGGCAAACGAGCAGACGGATCACCTGATGGTAAGTGATTACCGTCGCCCATAGACACCCGCAGACCCAGGGGTCTACAGGTGCGTTGCCGGCCTTTAAGGTGAAGATACGCTCTCCTCTTGAAAGCTTGCAGGTCGCTTTCGGTCATATTCCAATACAGCCTTATTCTTGTGCCGTAGGAACGCGCACGCGCAGTTTGTGGGCGTGGCGTCGCTGGCGCTGTACTACGCGGCGCCGTGGGGCAGCCTGCCCGCCGCGCTGCTGGGGCTCGGCCTGGCCTTCCTGCACGCTAGCCTGCAGGAGAAGGGGTTCCACATCCACCACCATAAGGTCAGCTTTATAAAAAACTAGCTGACCCGGCGAACTTTGTTCCGCCTTAATGGCAATAAATAAGCAGACTTTTTTTTAATTTCGAACGGGATAAAAAGTATCCTATGTCCTTCTCCTGGCTCTAAACTACCTCCCTGACAATTTTCAGCTAAATCGGTTCAGCCGTTCTTGAGTTATAAGTGGAGTAACTAACACGACTTTTGGGCACATTAGAATAATAATTTTTAACCAAGGTAGATAAAGTTAAAAACGGGATTATTTCCAAAAAACCAAAAATTGTCGACAATTAAAGCAAGAATTTACCAAGTGTTATACCATTTTGGAATCCTTACTAAATGCGCCAAATTATGACGTCACTTGCCACACTCGCGTAGTACATTTTTTTTTCAGTACAGTCAGTTTAAACTAGGCAAAATTTTTATTTTGAAAAATTTTTTGGGAATAATGTATTTTTTTCATCCAAGTTGGAGCAGCTGGTTTTGTAATTTTGATAACAATTTAGAGAAGCATTATTCAGGGTTACATAACAAAAAAAAAATTTGGAAAAAGTGAAGATTTGTGGCAACACGAGTAAAAAGACCGTCACCTGGAGTAAAAATTTTTGATTTTTTTAAAATGCCCATTATTTTGAAAATATGCCACATAGATTTTTTTTTATATTTTTCTGATAACCAGCATAACTTGCCTCAACACCCAGTTCCGGCTTGACGTTACATTACGGGACACCCTGTATACAGGGTGTTAGGTAAATGGGTATATGAGCGGACACTAGCCCATGTTAACATGGGCATATAAATGGTATGGTGAAGTCAGAAATTTGATATCATCATTTTATTTTTTTAATTTTCATACAAAATAAATTTTATAAAATCCGATTTGTATGAAAAATAAAATAATTAAAATGAAGATATCAATTTTCTGACTTCACCATACCATTTATATGACCATGTTAACATGGGCTAGTGTCGGCTCATATACCCATTTACCTAACACCCTGTATAGAAGCCACGATAGCCGAACGGTGAAGGGATCGGACTGGCCGACTCGTGATCCGGGGAACGCGGGTTCGAATCCCACCGCTCGACTATAATATTGTGGTGAGCTCACTCGTGACATAAGCATATTAGCTTAGTACGAGGGGCTAACAGGACTGTTAGTAATTTGTGTAAAAACAAATCTACACTAATATTATAAATGCGAAAGACTCTGTCTGTCCGTCTTGCTTTCAAGCCTAAACCACTGAATGATTTTTGATGAGATTTGGCATAGAGATAGTTTGAGTCCCGGGAAAGGACATAGGATAGTTTTTATCCCGGTTTTTGAAACAGGGACGCGTGCGATAAAGTTTTTCTGTTACAGACAAAATTCCACGCGGGCGAAAGCTAGTTCCTAATAATCTTTAAAAAAAAGCTTCGTGTAATACGTACTATCATCGTCTTTCAGCTTCATACTGGTTGCAGAACGAGCAGTTTTCATAGTTGTGTGCAAACTGCAAACTGTACAAACACTATGGAAAACTACGTTACTAGTACTAGTAGTAGTAGTAAAATCTATACTAAAGTTGCTTAGCTCTTGGTCTACAGCTGCATAAGGCTACTGCTAAACAAAGGCCTCCCGCTAAGTATAAAGCGATGGGCCTTCCTTATTAGACGCGAAAGAAAGGATAACCTAGGTATTATTTAGGAATGAAGCATTGTATTGTGACTGAGTTCCGGCTTCTTCTCAGCACTTGCCATATGTTTGTCTCGAAGCGCTGGTAGGGCCCTAAAGATAAGGAGACATGTAAACCTTTTTTTTTTATCTTTGACGTTCATAAATGCCAAAATACAGGTCAAAATTGAATAAATATTTTTGTTTTGATTTTTTTTTATTTAATATAATGCTTTGTCCTTAACATTCACAGTGGCTGACGTGTGTGTGCCGCTACAGCGTGCCTCTGATCGTCGCCTACATGGCGTCGGGCGCCGCCGCCCACCACATCACCTCTAAACTCGGTATCGCCATCTACGTAGCGCTAGAGAGACCTATCTTCAGTTTGCTCTGCGCGCTGCTGCTCTTCGGACTTGTCAACAACGTCGATAGTAAGCCTTATGTCTTGACTCATAGGGTGCACAATTGATTGCGCACCACATCACCTCCAGACTCGGTATCGCCATATATGTGGCGCTGGAGAGACCGATCTTCAGTCTGCTCTGCGCGCTGCTACTCTTCGGACTCGTGAATAATGTCGATAGTAAGCCTTATGTCTTGACTCATAGTGTGCACAATTGACTGTGCACCACATCACCTCCAGACTCGGCATCGCCGTCTATGTGGCGCTGGAGAGACCTGTCTTCAGTCTGCTGTGCGCTCTACTGCTCTTCGGACTCGTGAATAATGTGGATAGTAAGCCTTGTGTCTTGACTAATAGGGTGCATTATTGACTGCGCACCACATCGCCTCTAGACTCGGCATTGGCGTCTACGTGGCGCTGGAGAGACCGATCTTCAGTCTGCTCTGCGCGCTGCTGCTCTTCGGACTCGTGAATAATGTGGATAATAAGCTTTGTGTTCATCAAACTTATAAGGTGCACAATTGACTGCCCACCACATCATGACGTCGCTATCTTCATTTTGCTGTGGACCTGTGTCTCTTCGGGCTCGTCAATAATGTCGACAGTAAGCCTTGTGTCTTGAGTCATAGGGTGCACTATTGACTGCGCATCACATCGCCTCTAGACTCGGTATCGCCATCTACGTGGCGCTGGAGAGGCCGATCTTCAGTCTGCTCTGCGCTCTACTGCTCTTCGGACTCGTGAATAATGTTGATAGTAAGCCTTGTATCTTGATTCATAGGGTGCACTATTGACTGCGCTAAACCGGCGTCTACGTGGCGCTGGAGAGATCTGTCTTCAGTCTGCTCTGCGCGCTGCTACTCTTTGGGCTCATCAACAATGTTGATAGTAAGCTTTGTGTTCAAACTTATAAGGTGCATAGTTGACTGCGCACCACATCACCTCCAGACTCTGCATCGCCATCTATGTGGCGCTGGAGAAACCGATCTTCAATCTGCTCTGCTCGCTACTGCTCTTCGGACTCGTCAACAATGTCGATAGTAAGCTTTGTGTTCAAACCCATAAGGTGCATAGTTGACTGCGCACTACGTCGCCTCTAGACTGGGCATTGCTGTCTACGTGGCGCTGAAAAGATCTGTCTTCAGTCTGATCTGCGCGCTGCTGCTCTTCGGGCTCGTCAACAATGTCGATAGTAAGCCTTGTGTCTTGATTCATAGGGTGCACTATTGACTGCGCTAAACCGGCGTCTACGTGGCGCTGGAGAGATCTGTCTTCAGTCTGATCTGCGCGCTGCTGCTCTTCGGGCTCGTCAACAATGTCGATAGTAAGCCTTGTGTCTTGATTCATAGGGTGCACTATTGACTGCGCTAAACCGGCGTCTACGTGGCGCTGGAGAGATCTGTCTTCAGTCTGATCTGCGCGCTGCTGCTCTTCGGGCTCGTCAACAATGTCGATAGTAAGCCTTGTGTCTTGATTCATAGGGTGCACTATTGACTGCGCTAAACCGGCGTCTACGTGGCGCTGGAGAGATCTGTCTTCAGTCTGATCTGCGCGCTGCTGCTCTTCGGGCTCGTCAACAATGTCGATAGTAAGCCTTGTGTCTTGATTCATAGGGTGCACTATTGACTGCGCTAAACCGGCGTCTACGTGGCGCTGGAGAGATCTGTCTTCAGTCTGATCTGCGCGCTGCTGCTCTTCGGGCTCGTCAACAATGTCGATAGTAAGCCTTGTGTCTTGATTCATAGGGTGCACTATTGACTGCGCTAAACCGGCGTCTACGTGGCGCTGGAGAGATCTGTCTTCAGTCTGCTCTGCGCACTGCTGCTCTTCGGAATCGTCATCAACGTGGATAGTAAGTCTTGTGTGGTAAACCATAAGGTGCATAGTTGACTGCCTTATCACCTCCAGACTCGGCATCGCTATCTACTTGGCGCTGGAGAGACCTATCTTCAGTCTGCTGTGCGCGCTGCTGCTCTACGGACTCGTGAATAATGTCGATAGTAAGCCTTGTGTCTTGACTCATACGGTGCATTATTGACTGCGCACCACATCACCTCAAATTGGGTTTCTTCCCTCAGTGTCGAGGGCTGGTAAGCATACGTTATGTGCGCCTGCGTAGACATTATTTGTCTCTTCCCTCTTCTATGTGGGTGGCCATACTACCACGCATAGGTTGAAATATGTAAAGTCACAACCCTTTGAGCCGCCAGTACGAGAGCTGTTTCGTTCTACGTCCGATCCGAATCCGTCAAAATATTACGGATCTAGAAACGAATTAGAAAAATCTGATGACAAAAATCGGACCTGGTGCATAAGAATATGTATCTAGTACGTGAACTACCACATAAATAGTTTTCCGACTACTTTGGAGTAGGGATGTTATGGATATGTAGTTTCGGTTATGAATACGGTTACGGATATAGGAAAAATATTAATACCGGTTTCGGTTACAGTTACGGATATTTTTTTATTTCGGATATCCGAAAGTTTCGGTTACGTATACGGATATCTGTGCTTTAGAATGCAATTTGCAATAGTTGTCCAACACGGTTCATTCATAGCCGCACACTTTACATCGAATAAAAAGTAATGAAAAAATTAAAAATTGATACAAGTTTGCATTATAAAGGTAAATCAGGCTGTATGCCTTTACACATAATGCTATACAAAAAAACAATTTAAACTGCCTACATCCGAAACTTTTGAATCGGTTACGGTTCCGAAAGTTTCGGTTACGATATCCATAACATCCCTGCTTTGGACTGTAATTTTCACGGATTTGGATCGGATAGAACCTGTCACATGGTTCAGCATTCGAGGGCTTCTGTTGGGAAGCCAACAACTCGCGGGAGAAGACGTGCGATCACCGTACGATGACTAACGTCACCTCGGGGCGACAGCGTCTTCATCGGCGGCGCTCGGGTCACACACTCGCCTTGGGACACCACCATACCACCAACACCATGACCGCACGAATACCGCGTATCTTGATAATTTATTGTAATTATTTAAACCGCCTCTGTGGTCTAGTGGTAAGACCACCTGCTTCAGACGCAGAGGTCCCGGGTTCGATTCCCAGTGGGGGCAGATTTTTCTGTTCGGTTTGGTTGGTGGTAGGGCTTGTTCTAAGTCCGCCTGGCTAGCTACCACCATCTTACCTAAGTCTGTCGCCATAACAACAATGTTAACAGCATTGTTGTGTTCCGGCAGTTAGAGGTAATTAAGATAGCCAGTTCCGCTGTGGTTGGAGGATTCCGGGTGAAGCTCGCTTCCACCTTCGGCCTGATCGTCACTTACCATCAGGTGAGATACAGGCCAAGAGCTTCCTCGTTGTGGATAAAAAAAAATTAGGCTGGCGAGAATTCGAGCACCTATTTTTATACAGTCCGCTATTTCATTTAATTTGCTAATATTTTTTAGGAGTCTAACAGCTTCTGTGTGTGCAGACACGTTCCGTCGCGTGCTGTCGTGGCGCGGGTTCGCGGTGGCGGGTCGCGTGACGCTGGCCGCGCTGCTGCTGCACTGGCCGCTGGAGCTCGGCCTGCACGCCCGCTCACAGGTGCCGCTCAGCTACTCGCACTACGGCTTTGTGAGTATACAGTTAAGCCTTAGGCCGGGTTCCCACTATGCCGGACCGGCAGATCTCCCGGTCCGGTAAAATCGCCGGAAGGCCTAGCGGCGGTACAAATTGTATGAAGCTGTTCACATTATCCCGGATCCGGCTTTTTCGCCGAGCCCGGCATTTTTACCGAGCGTTTTGTCGCTACAAAATGCCGGAAAAATCACCGGACCGGAGAAATGTGAACGAGTTGCGGCCCACCCCGCCCCGCCCGTGCTCCCCGCACTTCATTCGGCTCGGATTTCGGATCCGGTGATCCGGTGTAATGTGAACACACGTGTCCGGTGTCCGGTTTCCGGCAGAAATGCCGGTCCGGCAAAGTGGGAACCCGGCCTTAGACTGACATCGGTGACCGACGTCAGCGGCGCGCACGATTACACACTAGTTCTATGTAATCATCTGCCGCTGACGACGGCGTTGCAGTGCGGTGCATCATAGAACATTGTGTTTATTCGTACGCTCGACCGATGTACGCGACCGACGTCAGCGTAGGAGGAAATCAAGCCTAAGAGACGATACCCATTGACCGGCGCGCGTTGTAGCGCACTTACACAGCCGTAGGGGAGACCTAGGAGAGTTGTGACAATTTTTACTTTAGGGGCCATATCTCGCTCAAAAAACATTCCACAGCTATGAATCATACAAATTAATGTAGCGTCGTTCCTTCTGTTTTCAAAACAATCACCAAAGTTAACTAAAGTATTAGGGTTTCTAAGAAAATCACCAAAATCCTAGACCACTCCCTCTGTCACAACTCTCCTAGCACCGAGGTAAGTTGTGACAGGTACCGAGGTGAGTTGTGACAGCATTGTATTCCATCTATTAGATATACAAAATACCTTAATACTCAATGAAATATGATTTTTTAGCAAAAAAAATACTTTAATCATCCTTTAGTACCAATTAAAACAAATAGTTGTAGGATGTCGTTACACAAATTGAGCTACATTTCTCCAGCTTTCATTTTTCTCCCACGACATTGAATTTTTTTTAATAATATTTTTTAGCTAATATTATAGATATATTTTCTTCCTCTTCTGTAGAAATAAAATAGTCGCGGTGGTAAAATCCATAGACGGAGCTTCGGCTTCTGGGTTTACTTGATAAGCCTCTTTCTTTTTAATATATTAAGATTTACAATTTTAATTAATTTACAATAACTTAATTTATTTACAAGTTTAGATTGTAAGTAACTTACTGTAACTGTAACTTTAACCCTTTAACCTAATCACTTTATAAGCCAGGTCCTAGATTTCGAATCTAGCAAACAGTTCCTCTATATGGCTTTCATGTATAGTTATTAGGCATACTGAATCAAAAAAGTAGCAGCATGCAATTCTCAGATCATAGAAGGGAATAGATGTGAAACGGGGGCGTGGCGCGTGTCTCCGCGATATGCCCAGAAACGAACATCGGCCGCGTAGCTAGGTTAGTCGCGATTCAGTCGTACTAAGGAAATGTTCTCCGATATTTTGGATAATGCGTCGTTACGTGCAATAAAACAAGTGAAACGAAGAACTACAGGAACAATGGAGTCATTTACTACATGTAAGTATTGCAAATCCATTGGTATTTTGCTTATAAATAAAAAAAACTAAACATTTTTACAAACGAATTCAGTGCCGTAATAGTTACTGCGATATCGAAATCAGTGGTGATAAAAATTCTAACACACTTATACATTGACGATTTAGTTAGCAACCACTTTATGTCATGCTCAAATACTGCGCAATGTATTTAATTTCTTCCGATATCCACTGTCGTGTGAAAATACACAGTACGGCCGCATGTGCCGGTCGTAACATAGTGCCGTGCTCGTGTTCTAATGCGGTTTCCTATTATCGATAAATAGAAGTAAATTATAATTTTCTATTTTGTAATTTTAAATAAAAAAATGCGATTTTAAGATTTTACAAAAAAAATAATAACAGTAGAAGTAATTAGTAACTGTCAACTATGTAAATTACTATAAGAGCTAGTTGAAAGCCTAATATAGGCATTATTTTTGATAAACATAATATGCGGTACGCAGATCGCCATAATTAAAAAGTAAATGCGTGATAGTAGTTAATAATAACGTATAATAATAAAAAGGTTTTCATACATAAGCATTTTGTGAAACCAGTTTCGAACCTTGCCCCTAGCGATTTAAAGTATCGATATCTTGTCGACTGCATTTTATCTTTGTTCTCTCACTAGCGTTTTCAAAGTGTGCGTCACGTCACGCGGCCATTGATTGGCCATAAGGCACGCCTTCTGGCCAATCACAGCACTTTTAAGCCGGTTGCACATGTTGTCGTAGACTCTCAGTCGCTTTGTTTTTACACAGTTGAATGTGTGTGTGGGAGCTGTGGTGGGGGAAATGTGGGGACACTGGTTCTCGTTGTATAGCCTGACCAGGAACATAAAAACCCTGGCATAGAGGCGCTTTAATTGCATTTGATAGTGCAACACTGGGTACAGTCGTACCTGTATTAAATTAATAGGCTAACTTTATGTATCAGGATTCAGGATTATAGGCTAATTTAATATTTTCATAAATTAACAAAAACATATTATATTATAGGTAAACTGGTTTAAATAAATTAAATGAAACCATCAATCGAGCAAGTAGGATTTTATTATTATTCATCAATAATCAAATTCTGAACTTGAATATTCAACTACAATGTCTGCTCATGAACGCTTCAAACTCGGTACTCATTTCCAAATTCCCTAAAATTCAATACTTACAAAGTGACAAAAAACTTTAAAATAGGTAGTTGAAACAAACCACAGCTAATTTTCATAGTTGACTGTACTATACGATAAACATGTCAGTCAATTTGACAACCTTTGTCGGAAACATTATTCAATGAAAATATTGTCCGAACCCTCTCTTCGACAAATACTTTATCACATTGTGAACCACTTTTCTTTCACGACTATAAAAAGATTTTAGCAATTTAATTCACAAAATCAATTGCGCACATTTAAAATAAAGTTTGTTTACACTTTGACAGCAATAGACTGACATGCAAGGTGACATGTCAATGAAGTTTTCAGTTACTGTTGCCATTAAAAGAAATTAGTACCATTAATTTTCCGCAACATGGCGAGGGTTTTTATGTTCCTGGTCAGGCTATAGTTACGCGCGACTTCATATCTATTCTCTTTCTATGATCTGAGATGCAATTATACAAATTATGAACCTACTAACATACAAAAAACATCTAAAAACATCGTGGGAATGGCCCAACAGAAAAAATCAGTAAGCTAGGAGAGTTGTGACAGCCTGTCACAACTCTCCTAGGTGTTTAAAATGACGACTTGGTTCGAATAATAATTTTTATTTTCTAAACACGATGCGCACACAAATGATCAGTGCTACATTTTAAGACCTGAATAACCATGCAACTTGGGAAAAAATAACACAACAGTGCACATATACTAAAACATGATATAAATTGAAATAAAACTTTGAAGAAAAACTTACTTTTCGCATTTTTTTGTACACAGACGTCATATTTACTTAACCGTGCCTTTTGCGCCTCCCGCAGGTACTTAGTCAAGAAGAGCGTCTTAAAAGCGACAAACAAGCGTTTTTACCACCTTCCTAACTATATTAAGTAAGGAGAAATCGTCCTTGTCACAACTCACCTCTGTCACAACTCTCCTAGGTCTCCCCTATGGAAAATAGTATTTTATTAACAGTTCTTAGAGTTGTAATTGCTTACAACTGATCAACTGTCATTTCAATCCGGAAGATGCGCGATCATGCGTCGGCAGCCGGTCGGCTCCGAGCGTATTCCAGCGAATACGCGCGCATTTCACCGCATAATTACGCTGCGCTACGCGCCGACTCGCGTCGGTCAATGTGAATCCTGCCTAAGTATACAGAAGCCACGATAGCCGAACGGTGAAGCGGACTGGATGACTCGAGATCCGAGGAACGCGGGTTCGAATACCACCGCCGCGGCGCCGCTCGACTATTGTGGTAAGCCCACTCGTAACACAAGCATATTTAGCATACCACAAGCTAACGGGAATAAAAAAAAGTTAATGTCTCAATTACAAAATCACGCTTAGAACCCCCAGCCACAGTTTACTAATTAATCAGGAACTGAAGTCCGGTCGCCGAGCAGATAGAATTTCGTACAATGTCCCCAAGCTAATATCGCTCGCGCCTTATTACATTGCTGTCGCGCTGTGAGACGAGCAGCCGCAGTGAGTGTGCGAATCTGGGTCATTGTACGAAATGCTATCTGCTCGACGACCGGACTTTAACAGATACACAGTACAGCTGTATGAAATATGAATCTAATGAAACCCGTTTTCCGTTGTCACGACATAACATGAAAACGGCTTGACCGATTTGGCTGATTTTTTTTTGTAGTTTTCTAATACTCTGTACAAGGTTTTTACGGAAAAAATATAAAGAAAATCTCTACGCTAAGGCGGTACGAAGTTCGCCGGGTCAGCTAGTTCTAAATAAATTAATTTAAAAAAAAATACTTTACATACAACCCGATCGAGCTGCGCTAACTTGTTGGAATGCGACTCTCCCTCCCACTTACCCGCACCCCCCCCCCGCGTTTGCCCCGTCCGTACCAGAGCGTTGAGATATGACGTCAAAGAAAGAATTGACTATAGAAATCATATAAGATTTTATATTATTATGAGGGTAGTTGAAAATCTTCATGCCCACGCGAACGGACGACGCCGCGAACCGCCAGTCTACTTGTGACCACGGCTGCAGCATCGCAGCCGAAACGTCAAGCCGTGAGTACATAATGTAACTCATTAATAAACGTCGCGTTAAGTCCCGTGTTTGACTATTTCATAGAAATCATAGTTTAATTATAACTTATAGTTAAACATTTTTTATCAAAACAATGAAAACAACCAGATCAAGGTAATAAATTGACATTACTAACCAACGAAACATCATCAGAAGAAAATGAAAATGAAAATATTTATTGCCAGAAATAGTATTATTTTAATTAAACTTACCGGAACAAACTCTGTAGGGATTGCACATTTTTTCAACGTGATTCTGGCTCCAATTTTTCGAAAACATTTACTATCAAAATGTTTGCTACATAAAGTGGCATATTTAGTTGGAATCCAATTTGGACGATTAATTAATTTGAGCCATGTTTTTCTTACATCTTCGTTAGTCGGAAATCTGAAAGATACTTTACTAATTAGTACCTATTATAATAGTCAGAAACTCATATTATTACATTCCCAGGTGACTGTGATAGACAGTGCACAAAATATATTTATCGATTGTGGTACAGCCCTAGTGTAAAACGAAAATTATTTCTTTACACAAAATATTCATAAATTCTGGATTATGTGCATGAAATCTTTGCTTACAACTTAAATTAATGTTTAAAGAACATAATTATCACACTTAGTGCTTAAAATTCTAAGCGCATTCACAAAAATAAAGCTAAAGTTTGGAGGTGTCGATTTCAATAAATTTACCTGTGAAATGAATATTTTGCGGGATTATTTCTCTGGTTTACATCCCCCTGCGACAACTCGATTAAATTACTTTTGACCTACTTCAAACGGTATCACGACTGCTTGAGCGTTAAGAAAACTCGACCTGGACACCTCGATCCTTGCGACAAGTCGATCTCTATTACAACTCGACCCCTGTGACAAGTCGAACACTGCGACACGTCAACCCCTGCGACTACTCTGAGCATTTATTCTAGATTCTGTTCAGGCATTGATTGATGGAGCTAAATGGTTTACAAAAGTATCATAGTTGAAATCGGGGTCGAACTGTCGTAGGTTCCCTACGATATTTCGACAACTGGACCCCTGTGACAACTCAACCCCTGCGATAACAAGATTAAATTAATTTTAACCTACTTTAAACGAAGCTCGACCCTACAAAAACTTGACCCGGACAACTCGACCCCTACGACAAGTCCAAAATATTCAACTATGATACTTATTGTAAACCATTTAGCTCCATCAATCAATGCCTGAACTGTATCTACAATAAATGCTCAGAGTAGTCGCAGGGGTTGACGTGTCACAGTTTTCGACTTGTCACAGGGTCACAAGTACAAGTTGTCGGAGGGTTCGAGTGGTCGTAGGGTTAAGCAGTCGTAGGGTCCAGCCACTAGCGGCGTAAGGGGGGGGCGGTCCGCCCCGGGTGCCACTCATCAGGGGTTGACAAAAGTCACGCAGATTAGTACTCACTGGCGCTAGTATAACGAGGATATGCCATGATTGGGGGGGGGGAGTGTTGCGATTAGTATCATATAGCTCATTCGAACTAACACCTTCTGTACCCCCAGTGAAAAGGGAGCTAAGTCGAAAATGGTGACTTTTGGGAAATCGCATTTGAAGTTAAAAAAAATCCTGCTTCGTCGCTATTAGAGATAACTGGGTGAAATATTTTTTAGGTGAAAGGTAATATTAGATATGATTAGGCAGTGTGCCAGTTTGGGAAATATAGCATGTGGTTTTTTCGTAATTAAATAAAAACCTAGTTATTATCACCATGCACGACAACTTTACATTCGTGTAAAGTGATATAATGGGACATAAATCATTTTACACCACACTGAATTGACCACTCGCTAACAAGTGTAAAGTGATACATTTTACCCCATTTCTGTTGATATTTTTTTGTTTCTTCAATTTTAGAAAAAGTTGTAAAACAAACATAAGTAATTACACTATGAGGAATCATTATTTTAGGTCATTTAGGGTAAATAGTCCAAAAAAAATTACTTATATCAATAAACACCAATTTTGTGGTGAGAAATAAAATGTGTAAACTGATCTAACTTACATAATAGCGATCTAAGTATCCTAATAATTTTGTGTAAAGTGATATAAGTGGCGAGTGTAAAGGAATAAGGCTAGAATTTGAGACTAAATTCTAATTATTTACTCCTTAAATGTTTATTCTGATCTGAAACTACTATTTTATTAATTATTACACCTACATAAAGTGGCATATTTAGTTGGAATCCAATTTGGACGATTAATTAATTTGAGCCATGTTTTTCTTACATCTTCGTTAGTCGGAAATCTGAAAGATACTTTACTAATTAGTACCTATTATAATAGTCAGAAACTCATATTATTACATTCCCAGGTGACTGTGATAGACAGTGCACAAAATATATTTATCGATTGTGGTACAGCCCTAGTGTAAAACGAAAATTATTTCTTTACACAAAATATTCATAAATTCTGGATTATGTGCATGAAATCTTTGCTTACAACTTAAATTAATGTTTAAAGAACATAATTATCACACTTAGTGCTTAAAATTCTAAGCGCATTCACAAAAATAAAGCTAAAGTTTGGAGGTGTCGATTTCAATAAATTTACCTGTGAAATTAATATTTTGCGGGATTATTTCTCTGGTTTACATCACAATCAAGGACGGAACAGGTCACCATTGTATTACAATAAAAAAATTCCAAAACTATACAGGATTTTACGAAATTTTTAGAAAAAACTGTGATTTGAAATTCTGCTTTGTGCCTCTATGTGTCACTGCCTGTCAAATCTTTTGCAAAAATGGTTCTATTGACGTGACGATGATAGCATCACACATCTCTTTTTATCACACAGGGTTGCAGATAGTGACATCTCGCTCGCTCATTCTTTGTTGCTCTATTCCGAAGGAATATTAACTTTATGATTTACGTGCCAGAAACAGTCTAGTTGACATGTCTTCTCTAGTACGTAGTACATTATAACTCAATGATTTCCTCCGCCATTTTCTGCAGATTGGCACCTCACGTCACATCATTTTACCGAAGTCAGCCCTATAGCTTCGGCGCAGTACCGATCACTGACGTTTGTCAACAAAACTTCTGACAAACTTGCTTGACTCTTGAGACAAGCTAAATTACACCATATTGTTAATGACATTGAGCACACATTTTTTTTAAATACCTTCGCGAAGTAAAACTTCTGTACGTAGTACTTATTATTATTCTGTGATATTAGTTACAATGTAAAGTATTGTAAAGTTGCCAAAAACAGTGCAAAGATGTCCGTTACCTAGGCAGTAGTACCTGTCTCTACCCTTGTTGTTATTAGTAATTGTGTTTCAGCTGTACGGGTTCGTGTCGACATCCGTCTTAACGTACGCGCTGTGCATACCCATCACTGTTCTGTTCGAGACGCCTTTCCAGCGGATGCTGACTGCGATGTTTTAGAGAATACACCTGTAGACTTAGACAAAGTAACTCGGTTTTATATGGGTACATAACTAATTTTATACATTTGTAGTTTGTAGCTATAATTATGTTGAAATGTAAATTATGTAGCAGTAGTTAATTATATTTGTTTTATGTTTATTATACTTTATTTATACCACCCGCCGCCTTTCCCTTTTTTTACTTTTTTTTATGTACAAACTTTTGTATTCTCGCGCCTCGCGCCTTTTCACGGTGGCAAAATTGGAATGTTGCCAGGATCGTGATTTTTCCACTGAAACTTGTTTTAATGGTTAGATCTGTCTTTTCTTAGATTTGTCCCTAGAAAATAGGTGTTTCATAAAAGTGCGATTATTTATTGTTAATGTTTTCATCCTTCATCCTTTGTTACCACTTTTTAAGCAAATACATTATTTCTTTCAAAAAACATTGACGTTACGGGTCTCTTCTGTAGAACTTTGACGCGCTTTATCTCTTTCTTAAACATTAGTTTCGAAAGTGAAAAATATGGTGTGAAGTATTTTTGGTATAGTTCTGACGGACTGAATCAAACTCTTGCTTTAGTACCCAGCAAACATTCCTATTGTTAATGGCAGTTACATTTTGCTAAGTATTTTAATGTTACTTAATAGTAAAAGGAAGTTGTGCAAAAGTAACAAGAATTTGCCACTGATCACAAATAAATTCCGTGCCCACCCCAGAAGGGCTATTGCTCATCCCAGAAAATCTTAGAAATAGGAAATCTACATACTTTATGACACTAAACGCACAGAATAATATGCCAACATAATATAGCCGCCAAGCAATGGCGCCGGAACACAAAAGTTTAGGGTTTGAAACAAGCATTTTGTTTATGTATTATTATAGAAATGTTGTGACATTTATTTATTTGCATTTCAATAACTAATTGAATGAGATGGTTACATTATAATAGTTCTACGATAAGTGATGTGGTGATTAATATAGGGTTTTAAATCTGTCGGGTGAATTGACACAAAAAGCTGGCAACACTGCACTATTCGGGGAGTTGTTTTTTTATCTGTCTTTGTCAAAAAAATGTCAGCTGCCTCTTCGCGACCACAGATTTCCAAATTCGACTGACGTTTTAGAATAATTTCCACGAATTATTTTTATTCAGGATATGGAGTAGTTTTCCATGATCTTTAGCGCGTTTCTTGTGTAACTAGTTCAAGTAGTGTATCGGTGATGGGTGGCCACCACAGTCACGAGCTCAAGGATGAGCAAGGTGGCAGCGGACATTCGACGCCTCGAGGGTCGCAGCGCGGGGCTTCGTCACGATCAGGGTCTGGAGGTGACCTGCAGGGATTGGCGGAGAAGTCGGACAAACCTCCCCCGTCTATGGTCCCCGTGGAGAAGCTTGGAAAGGTAGGCAAATACTTTAAAGATACGACACACGGTTTTCAGGGTTAGCTTGTGTGACGTCCTACTGTTTGTTTTGCTGTCAAGGTTGTTGTTCTACCGATACTGAGACTGTAGTCTTTCACAAGTTCAAAACAGTGTTTTTATCGGGTGTATACTTTTTTTATTGGATACTAGCTCTCTAACTTTCAAGGTAATTGTAGGAACAGTAGTTTGCAAACAACAAAACAACACGTTGTCCATCTGTCTCACAGTGAGACTGGAGAGTGGACTATCAAGTGAGACTCTCACTTGATAGTCCACTATTTGGATAATTTATACACTTAAAACTGAACCTACAAATTGGAATAAGTAGTAGGTAATAGGTACCTACACATCAAAATTTTGAATGATCAACAAGTGATAATTTATCAGAAAGTGAGTAGGTTTGTTGAAATTGATATTATCTGCTTGGGCTCTTTGTAACACAATGATCCTAACAATAGCTATTCTTTATCTAAAGTATCTTGAATAATATTTGTAATAAATATTAATATATTGAAAAATACTTAAATACCTTAGATAATGTTTTCAGAGCTTTTATCAAATTGCTGTTACTTTAGGGCTGATTCAGGGTGCACATAGATCTCTCTAGAATCTACAACTAAGCTTTTTCAAATTAATTAAAAATTAAGACATGATTGTTAACTTTCTTCATTGAATTGTTTGTCATGTTGTTTAGGGGGAGCCATAAAGTAAGACAAAATTATTATGACAAAGCAATATCTTCCGATTGATTCAAATATCAATTAATGCATATCTACATAACTCATAATATCACTCCTTTTCAGCTCTTACTTAACCCTTATAGACCTACTATGGCTAAATGTTCAGAGTAGATTTTGGCTTTTATAAATACTTTATTATTATGAGTTACAGTAATTTCCAGTCCATTCAAGTAGTAATTAATTAGTACCTATGTTGAACTTTTATTACCGAAGTCTTTATATTTTATTCATTTATATAGTAAAGCAAGTACCTATGTTTGTGTATTTGTAATGCTTATTCACCATTATCTATTATTATGATTACACAGTAGGTACTTATGCTATTTGTTTAATCCATAATTAAGTTTACCCTTCCTCCAAAACTTGATGACTTACAGAAGTTACGGATGTCTTTCAATGACAATTGTCAACTCAATAAGGCAGTCACATGACCGGTGTGGCGGCTGTGACAACATAAACACTACTATAAATAGTATCATGATTGTACTCATTAACATCACCGAACACATTTTAGTTATGTAGTTGTTCTAGTTACTGTTGTATGGAAGTTTCATTTATTTACTAGATTTACTTTTTCTACTTACTTTGTCTCAACTTCTGAATAGGCACTTTGAATAATGTTGGATAATCATCATAAAAACTTAGTGAGGGATCAATATTGAACTGTACAAAAAAATTGCAAAGTACACTATAAATTGTTATCTTGAGGTAATCACATGATTACATGTCATTAGTCTTATGTGCTTACTATAAAGACAAATATGTGTGTATGTAATATTGTTTTTTGGGAAGAAAAATAGGAACTGTATTGGAACTTTACTCCAGCTACTCATTTAATACACTCTCTGGATGGAGCTATGATCAGTAAAATTTTAACTCAAAATGTTAGTTTTGACTGCAACCAGTATGACAGGATGAAGAGAAGAAAGATTGTTTTATTTTATTTTGGATATATCTAACATACAAAAAGTTATAAAAAATCTGTACTAAGTAGGTATTTAAGTACCATTATAAAACCCAGCAGATTAGAGAGATATTCATCAATAGACATCAAGTGCAATGCAAATACTGAGAATGAACACAATAATGCTAATCGCCACTTGATAATTGCTATCTGAAATCACTCCTATCCTAACCACACTAGCAAAGCAAGTATTTAGGTAAAGTGCCAATTTCAAAGGCTCCTTAATGTTCTTTCTTACATTCATAACACTTTACACCTAACGGAAAGTTTACTGATAAGTAAAGAATAGAACTTGAGCACCTAAGCTGTTGTGTATTAGGCGCTAATGAGCACGTGCAGCCTTCATAAACAGGCGGATGACCGTGTGATTTCTGCTCTCCATACACATCCGCGGCGATATTTGGACTCTAACGCCTCAACATATGAACTAGAATTCTCTTGATTATGATACAAAGAATGTGGAAGTTTATTATAAAACACTCGAGCAATGTCGTCCCCACTTAAGGCAATGAATTAGCTAGTTGAAAGAATCATGATGGCAGTATTAAACGAGCGACATATTTTGTCGACACACACAATTATTTGCCAAGTGCAAAAGGGAGTACTCAGATAGTAAACGTAAATAATGATTCTATCCTATTTCCCCTTAGGTTTCACGCTAAGAGTAGGCGCATACCGTTGATTTTTAGTTGGCCGATAGTTGTGCCCGATTTGAAATTGTATGAAGAATCGGCCAAATCGAATCGGCGTAGTGTGCGCACTCCCATACATGCCCATACTGATCAACTGCCCGACTAAACTATCGGCCGACGAAAAATCAATGGTGTGCGCCTACTCTAAATCCCTTTGGATGCCTCCAAAACGGTCTGCAGGATTGTAAATCCTCGTATGACCTTTTCTTTTCCTGTTATTGTCGCATCGATATAACACGGTGGACACACCATTGTCCTCCACTTACTATTGAATGACGAGGAAATCCTTGATAAAGTTTGCCGGTAGATGAATGAAGGTCATACCTATACGTCACCTACCACTTGCCTTTAAAGCCAGCCTAAGGAAAAAACTGGACCACCTGACAACTTTCATCAAAATTCCAGTCTCCGACTGATGTTCGCGAGCTGGTATAAATGCTAGTAATTCTGGTGGATTGAAATTCATTTGGAATTAAGCATCGCCAAATGCTCTTACTAGTGCTAAAAGTATGCTTAATTCAGTCTGACAAATCTTGACGAATATGTTTAAGCGGGAAATTATTTTAATATAGGTTGTAGGTTCTGTAGATAAATGTTTCATTAAGAACATAAGCGGGCTTACTTTTTTAACCCATCACCAACCACCATAGAGCTCTGCGACCTTTTCTTATCATCATCATTTCAGGCATAGGACGTCCACTGCTGGACATAGGCCTCCCCAAATGATTTCCATGTTGACCGGTTGGTAGCGGCCTGCGTCCAGCGCTTTATGATGTCGTCGGTCCACCTTGTGGGTGGGTCTTTTCCTATAAATAACAATAAGTTAAATTGCAATATGTATTCTAATACATTACTGAACTCTGAATATAATCTCAGCGATTATCTTATTGTAATCGCGCATTAGTCCTATCAAATCACAACCGATTACACGCAGTCCATTCCCCCTCCTGTTGTGATTTGTGTGGCACGAGCTGATTGTGTTGGTGACGTAGAAATTAACAACGAATATTATGATCAAGATTCATATCAACAACAGCCGAAAGAAGACTATAATCGAAAGAAAGCTAAAGCTTGGTCGACAATAAGACGCAACTAGTGAATGTTGAATAATCATAATCACAGGGGATAGCTGATGATCGTTGAGCCTGCAACGAAACTTCCACCGTTTTAAATCGAAGAACGGAAGAAAGAAGTCCTGAAGTTTCAAATATAACTTCTGTAAACTTGACAAACTAAGCGAATCGGGAAAGTGTTAGTGGATTTGCATTTAAGAGATACCTAACTGTCTGACGAGTTGATGAATCACGTAGAATGTTTTTTCCTTAAAAGCTAATGTTTTCTTTGTCATTGTTTCAATTTCACACAGTGATAAATGATTACTATTCATTGAAGTCCACGAAATAAGTGCAGATAAAAATTAGGACCGAATCTCTAATTATCTGACGTAGCTGGACATTCAAGAGTGAAATGGAAGATGAGTGGGCTCCGAAGAACCTGAAATTCAGGATCGTGGGCATACAGTCCCACAGGATAAAGCGGAAGACCACTGCTAAGCCGACTTGCAAGGTGCGTGTACTGTCTCAATAAAGCTTCATTTAGATCAGTCTTTCCCAAAGTGGGCGATAACGCCCCCTTGTGGGCGCTGCAGGCTTAAAGGGGGGCGGTAAGAGACCCAGAAAAAAAAATCGGGACGTTGTGTAGAGGCTTGGGAGGCGTCATCTACTAGGAGGACTCTTAGACACCGACTGAGCTCGACTCTTGACTACAAAAATGGGGGGCGCTAAAAAATAATTTATTCTCAAAGTGGGCAGTAGACTAAATAAGTTTGGGTACCACTGATTTAGATCGACAAACTCCTGGTCTATGAAAGCCACGTAAGGAACAGAAAAATCCTTCAGATATCAGACCATGGAATTTACATAAAATATAAATTGAAATCAGTTTATCAATTTTTTTTTATTGATAAATGGATTTTCCTCTTGATAAAAGATGTGATTTAACAATGCAGCTTTATACTTGCCTAGACTAGAAAGGCCCAATGTGTTTAGCGGCACACGGAGGCAGATTAGTATGTGTTGTATAGAGGTCAACTGAAGCTAATGTAGTCTAAGGCAGGGCTTCCCAATTTTTTTTGCCAAGGAACCCTAAATGATTATACTTTTCCTAGTGGAACCCCCGTACTACTCCGCCCGCACGCCCTGCCCCTCCCTTGTGCGTAAACAAGTCGGTGCGAGCGAACAACGTCGGTCACGAAACGTGGGATAATATTTTTTACGGAACCCTTGCGGCCTTTCCACGGAACCCCAGGGTTCCGCGGACCACCATTCGGGAACCGCTGGTCTAAGGGCTAAGGTTACATCCTCCTGATTATCTTCAGAACTTCCACAACCAGGCATTAAACTATTGCAGAAATTGGGCAACGTTGAAAGAATGTGACTCATACTGCTTACGTAAATGTTTTTGATTGCATTTTGAAACAACATCGCATCTTAATTACAAGATTCCCAAATTAGATAGTTGACATAATTCATCATCATACAAGTGACGTCATGTAGGTTCCTACTGCGCATTGATAAACCCATGAAAATTTTCAACAACTCGATGTTTACCCGATTTAGTTAACTCCAACCACGTCACTATACCTATACTAAAGCTATCATCGCGTTTGCAAATAATCTACGAGGACAACTACTTGTATTAATTTTTATACGTTAACTAGCTGTGTCCGCGACTTCGTACGCGTGAAACCCCGTTTTCGCAACATTGTACATTGTTGCTCTGCTCCTATTGATCGTAGCGCGATGTTGTATAGCCATAGCCTTCCTCGATAAATGGTCTATCTAACACTGAAAGAATTTTTCAAATTGGACCAGTAGTTCCGGAGATTAGCGCGTTGAAGTAAACAAACAAACTCTTCAGCTTTATAATATTAGTATAGAAGTATAGATAAAAATAAACTATCCATCGTTCAACAGATTATTTGATAGCCGCATTAATTGCAAGCGTTTTAATTTTTTGTTTCCTTCCTGAGAGATAATGGTCGCAGTCAAGTGCAGAGCGACGGGCGCCCTTGACATAGGTTTATTTTTGGAGCGTGAACTGCGGTTCAATTCGGTGCAAATTGAATCGCGGGGCTAGATATGAGGCCTCCGCAAATGGGACGGAATGATAATGTACCTATGGGCTTTATATTATACTAGCTGACCCGGCGAACTTTGTTCCGCCTTAATGGCAATAAATAAGCAGACTTTTTTTTTCGAACGGGATAAAAAGTATCCTATGTCCTTCGACTGGCTCTAAACTACCTCCCTGACAATTTATAGCTAAATCGGTTCAGCCGTTCTTGAGTTATAAGTGGAGTAACTAACACGACTTTCTTTTATATATATATAAAGATGGTGACAAGCAGTTATTCAGAAGTTGTTTACGATGATTGCTTTATCGTTTTTCACTTTATAGTTGTAAAAACTGCTTAATCCATGACTGTTTACTTATGTTTTTTGCGTCAACTTGAAGAAACAAAGTTCAAATAATATTATTTGTTTTGTCCACAGCTGCTCTGCCAACGCTCACAAAAAGAAGATGGCGTCAACGGCGTCACAGAAAAGTCTTTTAGCGTAAGTAAACATATTGATGTCCTCTATCATCCTTTCTCGTATTTAAGTATGAATATTTTATTTATAGCACATTTTTTTTTTCTTTATTAAGGAAACAAACAGCATGAGTTTATACATGTGAACTTAAAAAATAAAAACAGTACAGTAGCCTAATCAGTTTCCACAGATAAACTTTACAAGTTAATCGAAAGTTATGCAGAGTGCGAGCAATTTAAAATCACAAAATATAAAAAATGCACAACAAAACCTTACATTCTTAATAGTGGATTAAAAAAAAATCTTTATAATAATGAAGTTTGAAATCTATAAACCCTTCAATAGGCGACGAAACTGCGCCAACTTCAAATGAAATATGTCGATATCACTGTAAGCATCATTATACTTATTACTAGCTCTTATAAGAAAACTGTTACATCTGTAATTAGTCTTGCAAACACATAAAACATTGAAAGAGACTTGTTGTGTGGACTAATTGCTGTAGCTAAAATAGCGTCCTTAATCCTATGAAGCCACTATAGCCGAACGGAAAAGGGGTCAGACTGGCTGACTCGTGAACCGGGGAACGCGGGTTCGGTCCCCGCCGCCGCTCGACTATTGTGGTGAGCTCACTCGTGGCACAAGCATATTTAGCTTACTACGAGGGGCTAACGGGAGTATTAGTAATTTGTGCAATAACAAATTGAGTCGTCTAGTTTCAAAACCCGCTAAAACGCTCCTGCAACTAATTTCTGTTTATATCTCTAAATGATGCTACTGCAATTTTCTCATCATACTGTTTATAGGTGTACCAGAATCTCATGGCAAACAAAAATATTGGAAAAGTGTGTTTTTCATATGGCCATTGTCTATGGCTTTATTGTCACCTGTCAAAGTAAATCAAGAGATCTGTCAGCCGCTGCAGAAATTTTGTAATCTCTTCATGCCTATTTGTTATTTTTGTGAAAAAGACGAAAAAACTCAAGCAAGTCATATTGTTTTCAAAGTGTATTGTAAAATAAGGCATAATTCAAAGTCAATCTTTGATTTTAAAGCGCGTCATTGAGTTGACAGTAAGTTGGAGTGAAATGTTTTGATACTTACCTACATTTAGTTTATTACCTAACTGCGTCAGAAGGAGGGTTATGTTTGGTTTTATATTATTCTTACCTAATAGCTGCTTTATCGGGGTTTTCAGGTGTATTTCATGCATTGGTGCAGAGGAATGGTGAAAATGTTATGACCATGTAATAAAAATTGAAAAAGTATTCATCAAGCAAGTTTGAGTAATTGAAATGCTGAAAAAGCGATTTATATTATACAAGGTGTCTCAAAAGAAAGTTTATATTTAGTGGATCGATAAAAAAAAAAGTAAGCCGTGTATCGAAAAAATGTTTAGTAACTATTAAAGTACACATTTTGGGAATTTATTTCTTAAAAATAATATTGTCCAAATGTAGACCCTCGCGTTCGTAGCACTCATTTAATCGAACAGTAAAATCACTTATGACGGCTCAGGCAGGTAAACTCAGTGATGGCTGCCATTTCATGACGGGTATTTTCTTTCAAATATGCCAGGGAAGTTGGTTTAGTGGCTTAAACTTTAGATTTAAGTTAATTCCATAGGAAAAAGCCCATAGTGGTTAAATTAGGACTGTGTGGATGCCAATTGATGACTTCTCTCCTGGAGTTCAATTTTCCAAAGAAAATTTCACATGACCAGCCTCTGTTTGGCTTCTTGGAGCTTTAACTCTTGTATCAATTGATTTTTGTAGGAGTGTAGCGTTAGGTCTTTGTGAAAAATGTGGTGTAACGATGATCTATGCACATTTAAAGCACTAATGTGCTGCCGAATTTAAAGGTTCGGGTCGTCACGAGCGGACTGATTAACACTCTCCACGTTCTCTACCGTTTTTGATGACCATAGTTTCCCGGATTTTTACTATTCCAGCGTTGTACGGGTCTCTTAAAACTTTTTGGCCCATTTCCTAATAAGAAGAATGCTTGGAGTATCATTTAAGTGGCGAAATCTACGCGCTACAGTCACAGAATAACCATTTTTGTAAAATTCTCGCAAAGACAACGCGCGGTCTGCTCCCGAGAAATACTCCATAGCACCTAAATTCCCAAGAGCCAGGCTATTGATTGACATAACCCCCGCACACCTCGGATTTGTTGCGTTCACGCAGTATGCTAATCAAATGTAAACTTTCTTTTGAGACACCTTGTATTAATACCTCTTTAACTTGATCATCTATTTGAAGAACAAGAAATGCAAGTGGAGTTCTTAGAATCGTTATCTAGTTCTGAATGAAGTGATAAGTTATAAGTATGATACTTAATAAAATTATTTACAGTAATATACGGTTTACTTATTTTTCAAGACATGTTCCTATGTTAAAAACCCGATGTATAACAACATTCTTCATACACATACCTAAAATGTATAGGTAGGCATTCGTAGGTACTTCATGTTCATTAATATTAGTCATAAATAAAAATTAAACAGTATCAAGATCGTTTAATCCAATTTCCCCAGTATTGCACTCAACAAAGTTTATTTTCCCCATTTGCCATGAGATTCTGGTACACCTATAATCATTTTCGATCAAAATACACTAAAAGACTACTAAACTAGCACTTAAAATTAGGTTTGTGTTACAAACTCCGCTAAAACGCCGTCCGTTTCTTTCAAAACCCTCTAAAAGTTGATTGACCAATGGTAGCACGGTATTTTGGTCACGTGACTGCGATATTAGTATGGAGATTTTTTTATAACGTGGTTGCTTCATAATTTGCTCTTATCAAATCCCGCTAAAATACAACATGTCCGTTTCAAATCCCATTAAAACCGAATGTTCGTAACAAAATACGCCAAAATGAAAATAGTTTTCATTATAATTCAAATTATATTTAAATTAAAGATAAATAGCAATTACTGTTAGTATTGCCAGATGACAATAATAATTCGTATCATTTTTTTTTGCCTAATGCCAAAGCTATATGGATAAGCGGTTTTTTTCAATTTCTCGAAATTTTATCAAAATCGTTTTAGCGGGATTTGAAACTAGACGCCTCAATTACTAATAATCTTAAAAAAAATCTTACGCTTACATGTAAATATTTATCTCCTCAGAATCAATCCCACACTGGCAGAAAAGATTTTTGTGAACAGATTCTGTGAGTGCGGAATATTGTCTTTTAACGTGGCTCCGTATGTTCCCCCAGAAATACCTGTTCCCAATGTATCCTGAACTGGCGCGACAGTTCTACAAGTTCGTGCATCGCGCGGGCAAGTGCAAGAACAAGCACGTGACGCTCGCCACCTTCCGCCAGCAGTGCGAGCGAATCCTGGCCATGCTGGACGACGCCGCCATCATCGACACCTACGTCAGGTACTGGCACCTGGACCCCGCCGGGCAGCTGTCCAACAACAAGCACGGACGCTCGCCACCTTCCGCCAGCAGTGCGAGCGAATCCTGGCCATGCTGGACGACGCCGCCATCATCGACACCTACGTCAGGTACTGGCACCTGGACCCCGCCGGGCAGCTGTCCAACAACAAGCACGCTCCCCCAAGGATTTCCACAAAGACCGGTCCTGCGCCGCTTGCATCCAGGTACTTCCCGCGACCTTCACCAGATCGTCGGTCCACCTAGTAGGAGGCCTGCCCACGCTACGTCTTCCAGCTCGTGGTCGCCACTCAAGAACTTTCCTGCCCCAGCGGCCATCAGCTCTTCGAGCTATGTGCCCCGCCCACTGCCACTTTATTTTAGCGATTCTGCGGGCTATGTCAGTCACTCTGGTTCTCCTACGGATCTCCTCATTTCTGATTCGATCACGCAGGGAAACTCCGAGCATAGCACGCTCCATCGCTCTTTGGGTGACCTTGAGTCTTCTTATGAGGCCCGATAGTAAGCGACCACGTCTCAGAGCCATACACCATCACTGGCAACACACACTGGTCAAATACTTTTGACTTGAGACACTGCGGTATTTCGGACGTGAGAATTTTGCGAAGCTTCCCGAACGCTGCCCAGCCGAGTTGGATTCGACGATTAACCTCTTTCTCGAAGTTGGACCTACCTAACTGGACTGTTTGTCCCAGGTATACATAATTGTTCCGACTACCGAGAGTATCCTAACCTTACTGGATGGCCGTCGTCAGGATTTCTGTCCAGTACAGAACTCTTGAGTAGCACGAGTATCGTGACCTTACTGAATGGCACAAATAATGTCGACGTTAGGCACTCATTGTAATCATGGCCGTCTTCTGACTTCTGAGTCATCCCGTCTGGAGATTACGCAGTGACGCTATCATAGACTTGCGTCTGGTACCTACTCAACCAACACCGTCTCATCGACAGAAGGTTACTGAAGATAACTATGAAGATCATTCCCCAAAGATATAAACAGATTGTGGAGTGCATTTTTGATAAACTGTTAGACTCGTCTTCATCATCAGGTATTTTTTTCCACTCTTGAAATCCTCTATAATATACCAAATCCAGTCTATTTACCAGAGTTTTGGGTTGGGGTGGCCTGATGTTCTCATATTTCTCCCTTAGCGGAGTAGTAGAGTTTTAGCGGAGGCCCTTTAGTCGCCTCTTACGACATCCAAGGGAAGATCACTCTTATAAATAATCCTTACTACCGAAGTGGCATGTCCTTACAAGACATATTGCTTCCAGGATGTTCGGCGCAGACACAGACGACAACATGGTGACACCAGAAGGCTTCCGCAGCCTACTCTTCACCAGTTATAAGCTGTCCATGGACCACTACCCCGAAGGCCCGCAGACTTGCCTCATGGTGAGCCCTAAGTTCATACACTCCACGTCAATTTCAACTTTAGGTTCTGAAGATACGGTTGAAAACCAATGAAAATGTATTTCCTGGTTCAATTTCGGTTGAAAGTTGAACCTTATTCGGTTGTAATAAAAATCAGCACCTCTATCAAAAGTGCGTACTACATTCCTGCTAGTGTACAACGAGAGCGATTAAAGACAGGAGCAAGGACAAACATCAATTCAATGCTCTCCAATATGGGTAGCGCGATCCATTTTTGGCATGTGCTTATTTTCTTTAATCAAGCTACGTATTGATGATGTTAATGATGTCATACATGCAATACAAGATGCTACGTGAACTGTCCAAGTATAGACCATAGTAGCTACAATAGCCGAACGGTGAAGGGGTGGGACTGGCCGACTCGTGACCCGGGGAACGCGGGTTCGGTCCCCGCTGCCGCTCGACTATTGTGGTGAGCTCACTCGTGATACAAGCATATTTAGCTTAGTAATTTGTTTATAACAAATTATTAATAATCTTTAAAAAAAAAGTACTTATGAAAATATTTCCGTAAAGGACACAAGCTGAAATACTATTAGTATGATAGAAGTTCCTCCTTTATAAACATGAATATGTATTATGTATTTACAGTTTATATTTTAATGTATTTTTCTTCTTCCATGTTTGTTCCCCAGTCAGTGGTTCATGATAGCCACGAGCAGGTGAATGATGCGACATTTATTTATTTATTTATCTTTTAACGGCGCATTGTGTAAATATTGCCTTGATCAGAGTCGTACGCTACATCCTTTATCATGTTCTCTATTAGCTATTAATATATTTTTATTATAATATAGTCATAGTTCGTATAATCGTAGGTTTTATAACATGCGCAGACGAAAAATGGAGTAAAAACTGCTAATACAAAAAGTAGCATGTGAAAGCTGTTAATATCTAATTCCATTCTTCGTTAGCGTGGCATGTTCCTCTAGTTCACACGTATAAATCCCATGGACATAGTTCGCTCATATTGCAATGGTTTCTTGACTAAAATAGTCATTTTGCAAAATAATATTGTCAGATAGTCTGTTATTGAAATAAGTACTCTAACTTGTAGTTAGGGTTAACTTAATTTTATTAGGACGTTTTAAATCCAGATACATACTATTTAGTTATGTTGTAGTTATTTTTAATTCGATGTTGTCCTGTGTTGTGTTGTGACGTTAGTGCATGCTATGTTGTATTTTTCCCTTATAAATTGCATGTTGTTCAAACAGTAGACCTGTACCTTGATTTTATGTTACACTGCTGTTTTTGTTTTATTATTTATTTCACTTGATAATACATAGTTAAGAGATTCAGTCAGTTTTTATTTCCATGAGGCTTAAGCTCGTAGCTCGATTCAAACTCATCCATTATAGCCTGCGATTGGTTGAAAAAGTGCAATATTTGGACCAATGGCAGGCGTGAATCTATTCTTGAGTGTAGATTCACAATAAAAGCAAAGCTAGAGTATTATGCATTGCAGTCGATCGCAGCCGCACGAAATCGTATCGCGTGCTCGACAAAACCCGCACTGTGAGAGATGTGGCTTTGACTCTCGAGTGCTGTGACAGACGCTCACAGCACTTGAGCTGTATCATTCCCATACTGCGAGCACTTGCGAGTATTACGAGAACAATCGACGAGCCATTCGGTCGACTGTAATTCGGGGCTTGACATAACCGTAACGAGTGTGACGTTTGTAGATCAACAAGACTCTGTCGGCGGTGGTGAACGGCTGCTTCAACAAGAAGGACTGCCACAGCGTGGGCTTCGTGGTGCGCTGGCTGGAGGAGCACTGTCACCGCCTCATCTTCCCCATACACAGGTCTGCCCTCATTATTGCCATTTCAAAGTTCAAACACTCTGCAAATAGAAGTGTCGCTCGCTCCAGTTCATTTAGAAGGTTTGAATCTTCTACGTGAACTGGAGTGAGCGACACTTCTATTTTCGGCTGATATTTAGCAGATAAAAAAGTTTCAGAAATGATTATAACGTGACTTTAAAGCACTTGCCACACTGGATGCATTCTGCGGTCAGGTCAAAGTGAATACTGTTTGCATCGTGTATGAACAACATTGTCGGCCAGGGCAATCGGTCAGCGGTCCATCCAAAATAATTTTATCTACTATCAGCTTGGATGCGAGAGGCGCAGGACCGGTCTTTGTGGGAATCCTTGGGGGAGGCTATTGTCCATCAGTGGACGTCTTTCGGCTGAAACGAACGGCTACCAGCAGTCGTGACCAAGCAAAGTGTCAGCGGTGCGTTCTTTGCTCACGGTTAGATCGCATCAATACAAAATGTATAGAGACCGATTAAGAGGGAGCGTTCATTTGACCTGCCGCAGCTCGCAGAACACATCCAGTAATAGAAATAGAAATATTAGTGTATGACAAATGCTCTATGTCAAGCTGTGATCGCTCAGGTACTGCGTGCACATGCTGGCCACGCGGCACCGCGACATCGAGGCCGCCATCGAGTCCAACGGCTCCGGCGCCGGCCTCGACCTCGCCACGCCCGTGCTAGGTCAGTCAGTCTTTATTTACTACTTAGGCTAGTTGTACCTTGCCTAGTTGTACCTTGTGTGTTCCTTTTCTTTCTGTTCTTATCTTTGGTGTGCAATAAAGTGTATTTATTATTATTATTATTTGTTTGTATATTTTATCTCAGCTTTAGTGCTGGTAAGATTAAAACCAGATACGGGCCAAGCCAAGTATCTGGTCTATAAGTTTATAAAATTACTGGTACATTTGTAGGTTCATCCTGTAGAAACCGCTTTATTATTATTCTCTTTATTAACTTTGGTTCTTAATTTTAAATATTTTTTTACAGTGTAAATTATCAAAAAAAATAAATAAAAATACATTATAAAAAAATACTTAAAAATAGTTATTCCGCTGGTAGCGGAGCAGGGCCCAAGCTACCGGTGGTCAGGGTCACAGGCTGAGGAACCTCCGGACAATGCGTGCCGTGCTGAGGATCACCGCCTTTTGTATCTGACCCTTGAGCCAACCATCCAGCGAGAGCTTCTTTAGATGTTGGTCGAAGCTCTTCGCTATTAGCCCGTTTGCCGAGACAACTATCGGGACAATGATCGTCGAGTCAACATCCCACATGGCGGTCACCTCGTGGGCCAAGTCNTAATGAACAAAGAAGGAAAAGTAACATGATGATTATTTTTATTTAGTTTAAAAACTAATACTGAATTTAGCAGATTGATTGTTGAAACTAATGAAGAAGAAAAACTATGGCAGGCTGATTGTTAAACTTTTAAAGAGAAAGTGTATGCTTCTTAAAATTAATGAAGAAGAGAGATAAACTAATAAAGAAGAATATTTTTGTCGGACTGATTATTATAATTAAAAAACAGACTGATTTTTTTGTGCCATTACATTCTTAAAATTTAAATAAAACAGTTAAGAAAAAGATACAGTATTTTATTGTTTTCACATCTCTGACTCTTATTGTAGATAAAACATTTCAAATGTAGAAAGTTATTTCATTATAAGGTCCATACAGCTAAATAGCCCTGTACAGTTTATCGTTTCTTTGAGATACAGCAGATCCGCTGCCTGGGAATTGAAGTCAACTTAAATAAGCCATACATTTTACCTTCCTGATACAACATTTCTGCAGCTCGACATTAAAAAATCAATTGCTGTAACTAGTCAAAAGTCAATGAAGTAGTAACTCTAGATTATTCCAATCACCTTTATTAAATAAAGTTTAATTAGTAGACAAAACATGTAAAATTTCAGCTTTCTAACTTTCTTAATTTAAGATTTATGAATTTTTGAAATAGTTTTTTTGCTCTGGTGTAAAATCGGACTTTTTGAGATACGACAAAATCGCTTTCTGCCGTCGATATGTTAACACAGTAATAAGTTGTTTCAATATCTCACATAAAAGAGTCTAAAATAAAAGAAATATAGATTTTCAAACTACCTTTAAAACTGTTTTTCTCTTAATTGTAGTTTTTTGAAATTCTTTGTTTTTCCCGTGTGGTCTTCAATTGCACTTATCGGTCGGCACCACAGACGAACGTAAGGTCCTGTGTTGCTTGTGGCTAAGGCCGTCATCCAGTTAGCGAACAAGGACTACCTTTTCGAGATTGGCCGGTTCCATGGTTTCCACTCTAGAAACCTCATCGGCAGTCAGTTCTACTTGCTATGTGCCTTGCCCATTCAGCTTGCTATTTCATTGGGCTATTCTATGTTAGCGACTGTTTGTTTCCGGATCTCCTCATCTCTCTGATGATCTCATAAAGTGAAGTTATCATTACCAGTAATATGTCTCACTATAAAGATATTTGATGGTGTTGTACTCACGGCTCCGAAGACCTCCGGGTTGTAGAGATTATAGCAAGGGTTCTCCTCGGCCGGCGGCGGCGTGCAGGGCGGCGGTGGCGGTGGCTGATCGCACTGCTGTTGTTCCGGCGGGATCTCCAGGGTAGTCAGAGCTGATGGGGTAGCTTGCCAGCTCTTGCCATACTAAAGAAAATAAAAGAGAAAATATTGTTTTTAAAACTTCTTAGCGTTTAGAGTCGCTTCTCAAATTATGTAAAGTCTAAATAGCTCAGATTGAAGAGCATTCGCCCGGCAAGTGAACGGTCATGAGGTCGACCCGAGTACCGGTTTATCGGCGCGGACAGAAACCCAAGCGCCGCAGTCCCGTAGGTCGTAGCAATTCGCATTATAAGTACTGTGTGTATCATAATATGCAGTTGTAATAGATGTGAAATTGCCACAAACATTTACAATCTGATATTTGTCCGTTTACAAGAATCTTATGCAATCGTAATAGGTGCGATTTTACTAATGTCTGAACTCCTCAAAGTCGTTTGGTATCAGTTCCGTTGTTAAAGTCCGGTCGCCGTGCAGATAGAATTTCGTTCAATGACCCCAAGCTATATACTTATCGCTCGTGTGTCGCGATTGTGCAACAGGCGGCCGCAGTGAGTGTGCGAGTGACTTTGAGGAGTCCTCAAAGTCATCAGTATCAGTTCCGTTGCTGATGACGAGGTGTTCGTGTGAGCCTGCGCACACGTCGCACAGGCCCTTGATGCGGTTGCTGTATAAGAACGTTGGCATGCAAAAATAGCATCTATTACAACTACATAAGGTCGTAGTTTAGTGACTGACCTCCTCAAAGTCATCAGTATCAGTCCCGTTGCTGGTGATGAGGTGTTCATGAGAGCCGGCGCACACGCCGCACAGGCCCTCGGTGCGGTTGCTGTATAGGAACGTTGACATGCCAAAATAACACATATCACTAGCTACATAAGGTCGTAGTTTAGTGACTGACCTCCTCAAAATCATCAGTATCAGTCCCGTTGCTAGTGATGAGGTGTTCGTGTGAGCCTGCGCATACGCCGCACAGGCCCTCGGTGCGGTTGCTGTATAAGAATGTTGGCACGCGAACTGATAGCTCCATCTTCGACGCCAGCACTGTGACCTGACAACATATTACACGACACAAGTTACAACACATCATACAAAAGCACAAAATACTGATTTTAATGAAATGTTAGGTAAAAGCAGACTTGATCCACACTTTTCATCAGATAAAGATGCAGGCCAGGAGCTTCCTCGTTGCAGTTAAACAAAACTTTTTATCGAAAAAGCATATGAAGTCGCGGACAAAAGCATATTAATTCCAAGACACAAAATACAAAAAATCTAAATCAAAATTACCTTTATTGGATCGACTAATTAAATTAGTACTTACAAATCGTCAAAATTAAATGCTCTTAAAGAGCCTATACATGACTCATTCTTTTTTTGCCATACCAACTCAACTCGGTAAAGACTTTTAGTCTTTTTCAATAAATAAATAAGAGTAGTCAATCGAGATAGCGAAGTTCGTTCGTTTCAGCCGAAAGACGTCCACTACTGGACAAAGGCCTCCCCCAAGGATTTCCACAAAGACCGGTCCTGCGCCGCTTGCATCCAGGCACCTCCCGCGACCTTCACCAGATCGTCGGTCCACCTAGTGGGAGGCCTGCCCACGCTACGTCTTCCAGCTCGTGGTCGCCACTCAAGAACTTTCCTGCCCCAGCGGCCATCAGCTCTNTGATGATAGAACGATCCCAATAGAGCAATGCATGACCATTTTCGAGAACTGGCACCGGCTGGTATCGGTAATAAGGCGTCTCAGATTCAAGAAGGTCGTACTGAAGAGCAAGTTGCTGATGGATGATTCTGGCTACTAGGTTATGCCTGTGCAAGTACTCACCGTTAGCAAGATGCGAACAACCAGAAATTATATGCCTGAGTGACTCTCCGGGACGGTGGCATGCTCGACAAATGTCGACCGTACCGTCCTTCAGGATATATTTTCGGTAATTGTTCGTCATCATGACCTCGTCAGCAATTGCACAAGCAAAACCCTCGGTTTCCCCAAAGAGGTCACCGAAGCGTAGCCAGTTCACCGAGGCGAGGAGGTCTACATCAGGACCTGTAAGGGCCCGATAGAACCTCCCGTGCAGCTCCTTGCTCTTCCATACGTCCTTCCGATCCGCGACGCTCAGGACCTTTGGCTTGCGCCAGTTCTCGTTCGCCAAGGAGAGCGGCGTGAGGCCTTTGTCAACTGCCACAACATCGCGATGCATTCCGCACTCATTGGCAAGGAAATAATCCCTGAGACTGCACACTTCACGGTTGTGGAGGTTCTTGGCATTTAAAAAGCCTCGACCACCCCACTTCCGTGGAATGTACAGTCTCATCACAGATGAACGCGGATGTAACATGCGATGTTGTGTGAGCTGCTGACGTACCTTCCTATCCAGGGCGTCAAGTTCAGTCTGAGTCCATCTTAGTATGCCGAAGGAGTATATCAATAGAGGCATCACCCAACCGTTGAAAGCTCTTACTTTGTTGCCGCCAGACAAAAGACTATTATTATTATTATTATTGTTTCTTAGGCTTTTTTTTACTCGAAGTCCATAAGTTCTTCGGTATAACGTTAACTCACGGGCTCATGCCAAGTGAGTTACGTGTTCAGAGTTGATTGCGGAGTTGGAGTCGTCCTGCATGAACTTTCTGACGATACGACAGGTGTTGAGAATCGCTGCCTTTTGCATAGTCATATAGATATTTTCTTTATTATTATTATTATTATTATTATTAGACTCTTTCCAGGGCGCTTATACACGTCCCAAATATAGATTAGGGATTGATGATGAAAATGGGCATAAGTCGCCTATCGCCGAAGCTAACACCCGTATTCACAAACATTACTATGAGGTCTCACAGTGCGCGTGAACGCTGTGCATTCGATTTGCTGCTTCACTTTAAGCAAGCATCGTTTGTGAATGCGGTCGTAAAAGTAGCACGTGTGCGGTGGCTCTAAGTTGGCCCGCAGTGAACTGCATTATTATTGTGTGTCGGCAGAGCGCGCGTCGCCGCTGAGCCAGCCGACGTCGGCGGTGCTGCCGCTGTCGGTGGCGTGGCTGCTGGCCGCCGCCGCGCCGCCGCTGTACTCCCGGCCCGTGCAGCCGCCGCAGCTGCACTCAGGTACACAATGAAAGAAAGAAAGAAAGATACATTTATTACAATGGACATCACACAAATACAGGCAATTTCATAGACATGACAGTGGCACATAATAATGGAAGAAGAAAAAAAAAAGTAAAAACGAGTAAACTGAGCAGTGCCACCCACTCTCCAACAAGATGCCCACTGCAACGGGACCCCACTCAGCATATGCCGTGGCCCACGGTGACGAAGGCCACGGCGCTGGTTTTCAGTGTGCCCCATGCCGAGTGAGGGTCACGGACCATTGGTAAAATAAATAAAATAGTAAGCTGCATAATATTTTCTAAACATACATAAAACAATGACAGGGTGGGCCAAAATTTTTTGAAAAAAGCAACGTTTGATTTCTCGCTTTTTGTTTTTTTTTTTTCACTAAAGCAATCTCCCTAAAACGCCTCTTTAAAACGGATTACGTCATATCCCGTTTGTTTACTGATTGAACTTCTCGACCTTTGAGATTTCTAGATTTGGAAAAAATAGACAAAAAGCACGTTGCTATCCCGTGAAACGCTCTTTATTGACTACTAGCTTTCCTCCCGCGGCTTCGCGCGCGTGGACCCCAGAACCCTATTTTTTTCCAAAATAAAATTTAGCCTATGTTACTCGTGGATAATGTACCTTTCGAATGCTGATAGAATTTTTAAAAACGGTCCAGTATTTTTTGAGCCTATTCATTACAAACAAACAAAGTTTTCCTCTTTATAATATTAGTGTAGAAAAATTCGAACCGTTTTCAAAAAATCAAGCGTTGCTATTTGGAAAATTTTTTGATCAGCCTGTACTTAACAGTTGACACCACTGACGAGTGGTACATTCCTAGTGCGTGCGATGCGATAGTTCTGCTACTGCTTCAGTGCTCACCAGTTAGTGCCACTGTCTTGGCTACTAACGAGTCTAAAACTTACTCTACAGTGGCACCAACTGACTTTCACATCACATCCCCTTGTGCAAAACTAAGTTAGGCCAAAACTCGCCACTTAACCGGTTGTGTGCAACGTATAATAAAGCGGTGGCTGGCGACCCAGACACAGACACCGGTCTTGACGTTTTCGGTGACAGCCTCCCTAAATTTAAGTCAAAACTCAAGCCTGTATTCGGAACGACTTAGGCACCGAACAAAATGAACAATTACTAAGTCCTTTATATTGTTCGGTGCTTAAACTCTAGACTCTATTCAATCGATTTTTGTTTTTACTAGTGTATAATTACCCTAACATTGCAAAAAGAAATGCTGTGTATACCTGTAATTGAGGTCATATACGTATCATGTGTTAAACCATGTTAAAATGTATGAACTGTATTGTGTATGTGACTTTGTTGGTGTACCTAATAAATAAATAAATAAATAAATAAAAACTGACGATACGACTGCAAATACAATAACATTCATTGACAAGACTACGACAATCTTAAATATACGCTACTTGTAGGTTAGAGTCTAGGCACTATTCATTTAGTTTACTTGTATTTTGTTATAAATGACTGCAACCTTTAACTGTAATTTAAACTAAATAAGTATTATTTGAACTGTTGACAGGCGGCACCCTGGCGTCGGCGGCGTGGCTAGCTCGCTTAGTATGCGCGGTGCCATCGCACTGGGCGCCTCTATACTGCTCGCGCGACCACGGGCTCGGCGCCAACCGCTTCCTGCACCACACCACCTCCTACAGGTACACACTTCTGCAGGTACACACGTCTTCTGCAGGTACACACGTCTTCTGCAGGTACACACGACTTCTGCAGGTACACACGTCTTCTGCAGGTACGCACGACTTCCGCGGGTACACATGATTCCCGCAGATACACACGCCTTGCGCGGGTACACATGTCTCCCGTAGGTACACACGCCTTCCGCGGGTACACATGTCTCCCGTAGGTACACGCGCCTCCCGCGGGTACACATGTCTCCCGTAGGTACACGCGCCTCCCGTGGGTACACATGTCTCCCGTAGGTACACGCGCCTTGCGCGTACGCATGTTTCCCCAAGGTACACACGCCTTCCGCGGTTACACATGACAAAGGTGACTGAATTTCTTCCGCCACTTCTTCTCAGCACCAGCCCATATGTTGTCCCGAAGTGGTGGTAAGGCAAGCCTATATTTGGGACGTTTTTCGCCCTGGAAAAGGTCTATGTATTGTTAATTGTGAAAAATCTAAAACGTTAAAATAATTATATCGTTGTGGCCAATGAGCTGTTGTCATAGTCCCCGCGCTTTCGTGCTAAGTAATGAATTGTATTTTAAAAAAGGCAATATAGTGTGAAAGTTGAGTATTCAGTGTTTTATTTATGAGAAAGATCTACCGGCATCCAATAGTACTGAATCCTCTCCCAGGTACTCGCGTCTCCTCCGCCTTCTCCTGGTACAAACCAACTATTGCATTCTGTTACTGACGTTTTAATTGTCTGGCAGAGGCCCGACGCTGGTGGTGTTCGAGGCGGGCGAGCTGACGCTGGTGGTGGCCAGCCCGCAGGAGTGGCACGAGACCCACCAGTACTGGGGCGGGCCCGACTGCGCGCTGCTCCAACTGTTCCCCACGTAAGTAAACAACTATATAGACAAACATTTTAGGTATGGTGTGAACCTATGGCTGAAAGATAAGATAAGATAATTCGTTTATTTGCACAGAAACATGGTACAGTACATATAGGTGTCAGTGGAAATATAATTGTTGTATTTTAGGATAAATTTCTAATGCTTAATTGATATAATGGACGCATAGCGCCATCTATTGGCATAGGTTGCCAAACTTTGTTTTTCTTAAGAGCGTTTACGCCGTTTGGCGCAAAAACAGTACTTTTTCAACTCGTTACAATCATTAACCAGTAATACTACAAATATGTTATAGGCATAAATAGTTAGACAATTTCGTCGTCTAAATAGTTAATTGAGAAAATATTGCGATTAGTTTAGCATTTAAGAATTCTATCCAGATAAGTCCACACAGGTTTTGTAAATTTCCCCTTTAGCGTNGCTGAAATTTTTATAAAAATACTGTGAAAACGATTTAACAAACATATATATCCTATAGCATAGATCCTTGGGCAAATAGTTATCTGAGAAAATTTTTAGATTTAAACATTTTACACTAAGAAATCACAAATTAAAAGAACGTGAAACACCCAAAAATCAAAGTGATTTTTTCACCAATATTCTTCCTTTATTCAACACAAAAATAGCTTAATATATAGCCTGACCAGGAACATAAAAACCCTGGCATAGAGGCGCCTCAATTGCATTTGATAGTGCAACACTGAGTACA